TGTGTGTGTGTGTGTGTGTGTGTGTGTGTGTGCGCGTTCGTTGAGAGTGCATAATGTTTGTCTTGTTTGGGAATGTGTTATACTTTTGGGATCAGGCGGACTACATCCAAGCCTCACATTCTCCCCTTGCCCGCTCCCCCCCTTCCAATACCCCTCCCCAACCTCTCCCCACATGCCTCTACCCCTCCTCCCCACCACCTACACTATGAATGAAGCAAAAAAAAGAGTGCAGAGTCAGCCTGTCCTCCCGAAATAATAGTGCTTATCAATTATATTTAATGATGGACCACCAGTAAACCACTTTTTCTACTATTCATTTTATAAAGTCCAGAAAAATAATTTAAAAAACCAAACTTAAACAATCCTAGGCCCTAGTATAGCACATATATGTAATATATTAGACCTATTAGGCCTAAATTAGCGTGTATTTCGCCTAGGATTGCTTGGGGATGTTCGGTTAGGTTTTACATTTATGTTGCAGTTAAAAAAGTTTCCTGTTTGTCCAAATTCAGTAACACAGCTTTCTGGTGGTCCATCACTACATATTGGTACTTTCCACCAAATAGTTACTATAAATACTTTCCTTACAGGAGGCTGTAATGAGGCTATTGTTGTCATGTTGGGACACGACAACAATAGCAGTAGTTGCTGGGACATGACAGATTTGTAGAACCCGCGAGAAGTATCACTCATATTGTCCAGTCCTTGAAACGCAGTCACTCATCCGGGTTCCTATTTACTGCTTAGTTAACAGGAAACGTGATCAATTAGTTCTCTTCCGCCCAGGAATCAAACCTGAGATTCCCGATTGTGAGTACAGAACGAAGCTAATTGTACTACAAGATCCGTTATTGATCCGCAAGTTAAAAATGAAACACAAGTTCATTACACATATACACTACATTTTTTAAATTTATATCTGCCATTTATTATATTACCAATAAAAATATTATTTCATCTCATGTCATTTATTTTCAATAATTTCGAGTCCCATAAGTGACGTAAAGCACTGTGTGTGTCTCAACTTTGACCGGTCAATCTTAGGTTGAATCACTAATTTGATTAAGACGCTCAAGTATATGGAGACCTCTTGACCCTCTATCTACTTATCACGAGCAACTTAATATATTGCCTTCCCAGCCTTAGGGTGTGGGTAGGGGATAGGTTAGGTTGTGAGGGGGTAAGGGTGAGTAAGGATTGAGAGTAGCGCTCGTGGGGTCTCGACTTCCCAATAAGCTTTGTGGCACTTTAAAACTTATATACTGACTGACTTATCTTAACTTATCTTATCTTAACTAAAACTTATCTATACTGACAGTTTTAGTATTCAACCCCTTTTCGTTTATCTTGTTCCAATCATTCACAACTCTGATCGCGAAAGACAACTTTTGGAGACCTTTTCGGCACTTTTCTAAGCTTGATGAGTGTGTAGGTGTGTGTGAGGTTGCGATGAGGGTGTGGGGTGATAAGGGGGGGGGTGATAAAAGACTTGGAGAGATTAATACTTACTAATCTCTCTCATCTCATTTTTTCTTGCAATGTATTTGTTATCATTTTATTAATTCTGATAGAATTTACCTACTTAAAATTATCTGTTAGATTAAGGACCTGCCCGAAACGCTGCGCGTACTAGTGGCTTTACAAGAGTGTAAATACTGTACTATGTTATGTATTCTCACAAACCCAATGTACCTTCTTGTATATAAATAAATAAATAAATTAATTAATTAATGAGGTAATGAATGTACTGTGGAAATGTTGAGGGTGGAGTGAGAAGAGGGAGGGGGATGTGACGGAGTAGGGGGGTAGGTATTGGGGTCTGGGTGACGGGTGAGGGATGGGGGGCGTGACGGGTGAGGCATGGGGGGGGGGCGTGACGGGTGAGGGATGGGGGGCGTGACGGGTGATGGATGGGGGGCGTGACGGGTGAGGGATGGGGGGCGTGACGGGTGAGGGATGGGGCGTGACGGGTGAGGGATGAGGTGGTGACGGGTGAGGGACGGGGTGGTGACGGGTGAAGGACGGGGTGGTGACGGGTGAGGGATGGGGCGTGACGGGTGAGGGATGAAAGTGGAGACCAACACTCAACAGTACACATGGTGGGTGGCAGCTTGTGTGTCAAGGTGAGGGACTTTCACGACGCCACCCAGACTATAGTACTCCCTCCTCCTCCTCCCCCCTTTCTCTGCTGCTGTTCTCAGAGCCTCGTGCACGCGTATATTAACGCCCACATGTTCACTGAAGATGGCGTCTTGTCTATTATATTTACAGTACAAGAGATGTACATCACTAGGCATTAATAGTGACCTATAACTTGTTGTTGACCCTCTCAGTTAAGCAAGTCCCAGCTGTGTCTGGGTACAAGTGACAGGATGAACAACCCAGCGGGTTTTCTTCCTTTTGGGGAGTGTTGTACATGCTGCTATGGCGGTATGTCCACTCACAAGAAGAGTGACGCTGCCCAATAAACTCGCTCCTCGGGGCAAATTTTAATTTAAAAAACCCTCTCATACAAACGTGTACCTTCAGCTAGACCTTTCCATAATTTGTGACTCAAACGTCCTTATACACCTTCAGTAAACATTTGATGTGACTCAACTATATATGCACCTATGAACGAGGTGAGCACTTTGATTAATTATTGTTTGTTATTATTTTGTATGTAGATGGGCAGCATGATTACATGGACAACAGCCATGTATACATGGGTAGCAGCCATGTATACCTCTCGGCAGGTATACTTCGTAAAGTCAATATTGACTTATTAACTACGTGCATAGGTGATATACTAAACATAATAGATACCCTTAAAAAGATTCATAGAAAACACCGACCTTACCTAACCTTGTTAGTATCTTAAGATAAGCATCCTATTGCTTCGTAATTACAATTATTACTTAACCTATACCTATTATAGGTTAGGTAATAATTGTAATTACGAAGCAATAAGATGTTTATCTTAACATACTAAGTAGGTTAGGTAAGGTCGGTGTCTTCTATGAATCTTTTTAAGGGTATCTATTATGTTAAGTATGTCACCTATGCACATATTTAATAAGTCAATATTGACTTATTAAATTTGCGAGAACGGGTTGCGTATACATGGGTACCAGCCATGTATACGTCTTGGCAGGCGTATATACATTACATCTCAACATGCCATCGCTAATTGACCCCCATACAGTCTTCGGAAGACGTTTAAATTTATCTCATGTGAGAGTCATGTTATGTCCCACGGGAAATGTTAACTATTTTGTAAAAAGAAACCATTGGTAGGGCGTAAAATTTGCTATTTACAATAGACACAAACAAGTGCTGGAAACTGGATCACTCTTGCCCGAAACGCTATGCACATTAGTGGCTTTAGGTATTGTATGTAGTAGCTCTATCTGTAAATCCAACTTTATGTTTATAACTCATCTTCTATGTATGTACTTTTACCTGAATAAAAATTTAAATTTGAACTAACCCTGACGACTGTGGTAGTGTGGGAAGGGGGAGGCAGTTTCGGTATTGTCACACCAAACACCTCATCATTGAGAGGATTATGTCAGCATAACATGTAAATACAGTCCAGAGTATAGAGCACCGCTCCAGTGCCAGGTAAGTCCACTGCGGGCTCACCATAGCCCGTGCTACTTGCCCCACTCCTGTGCCAGGTAAGCTATGGGCTCACCATAGCCCATGTTACTTGGAACTTGTTCCGAGTAGCTGAATCTATAACAACAACAGTCATGAGTAAGTTGGCCACATGACAACAGCAACAGTTGCTGGGACATGACGACAATAGCAGTAGTTGCTGGGACATGACGACAATAGCAGTAGTTGCTGGGACATGACGACAATAGCAGTAGTTGCTGGGACATGACGACAATAGCAGTAGTTGCTGGGACATGACGACAATAGCAGTAGTTGCTGGGACATGACGACAATAGCAGTAGTTGCTGGGACATGACGACAATAGCAGAAGTTGCTGGGACATGACGACAATAGCAGTAGTTGCTGGGACATGACGACAATAGCAGTAGTTACTGGGACATGACAATAGCAGTAGTTGCTGGGACATGACAATAGCAGTAGTTGCTGGGACATGACAATAGCAGTAGTTGCTGGGACATGACGACAATAGCAGTAGTTGCTGGGACATAACAAGAGGGGCAGTTACTGGGACATGGCAACAGCAGGGTTGGGACCTGACAATAGCAGCAGCAGGGCTTTGACATGACAAAAGCAGGAGGGCAGGAACATGAGAACAGGAGCAGGGCTGGTACCTGTCATGTCCCAGCTTTATTGTGGAGCCACCAACAATGTGCACGTTCCAGTTACTTTAATATCTTCTCATTTTATGCACTTTGTATGCACTCACTTTACTATATGCTCTCACTGAACATATAGTACATATATATGCTCTCACTGAACATATAGTATATATATTTACTGAACTACAGTGGAACCTCGATTCAGCTCATCTGTTGGAACACACTTTCCATGCCAGATTTATTCACCAGATTTGATGAACAAGAGTTTGCTGAAGCAGGGAATGTGTGGATTTGCTTAGAATGTTGGGATGTTCACAGATGGAGGCAACATTACAAGAAATAGTTAGGGGTCTTGGGAAAGCCACCGAGCACATTTAAAACCGAATTCTATGGTTCTTTATTTCCCATTGCAGAGGTTTTTGTTCAGTGAAATATGGGCCATTTGTCCTTTGAAAAGAAGATTTTTTTGACTAGGGTGTGGGAAATATGCTAGATGAGGTTAAATCTCTTTACAGACAGGTTCTCTTGGTTGTTGCCCTTTATGACAGTATGAAATTATATTTTTACTCAGTGAAATCAGTCTATAGACCATGGGAAATATTAACAAACCTTTGACAATCTACTAGTTTCCTGTCCTTGTCAAGGCCACGTGAAATATGGTGGCCTTCAGATAAATATATGCACTCAACTTTGAACATATACTGTAATCTCTATGGATAGCAGTATAATTAAACAAACTGGTTATTTTTTGCAGTTTTATATTTCTTAGGTATAATTTACCTAACTCTTCGTATGAGGCTATACAGGTAATAAAACAGTTTTAATAAGAATATAAACACAGTAGTGTATACAACACTATGTTTTTTGTACATGCATTATATTACACACATACATTCTATATAAAATGTTCATTGCACAATTCATTTTAAACTCATGAATTTTTAATATCTGCTGCTTGCTGTACCTGACACCTAGGTAGGTAGACAGCATGGGTTGAATTATTAAGTATCAAGAATGAGTGGATATACAGTATTTGTCAATTGTTAAGCCTTATACAGTATATGAAATTTATAAGTTATTCACCATGAAAAGTGTATCCTGCACTTCAGTTAATCCTTCTGTGCACACTGTAATGAAGGTGATGAACATACTTAAAAGTTTCATTAGCACCCATTATTTTTAGACAGACTAAAACACCAGTCACTTTTTTCCCGAGCTTGAAGATGTCTCGGTCAATTCAATGTCTAGTTTTTTACTTTCGTGGCTTGTTCTTTCTTCATCGTGCTCATCTGCAATGACTTGTATACAATGTTTCATTTTTTTTCTTCCACCTTTGGCTTCTGAAGGTATTTTGATATTTTTAATAGTTACTGGGCCTAAAACAGAAGTCACCCTTGACTCACTATCGGAATCACTGCCACTCTCGTGTAGTGTCGAGGAATGCGTAGATTGCTCATCACTCTCGTCACTATCACAGGCCATTTCTCCAATGAGTATATCCTGGAGGAGTTATCAAGAAGACAAAACATTAACATTGTATTACACATTTACATTCACTACTTAGTAGTTTTAAAAAACTAATTGACATACTTGTAGTACATTACTACTGTATTATATATACTGTACTATATTTAAAAAAGTATGAAAATTAAAATGCATATCCTAATAAAGTGTGATCAAATTGCTTCATGGTTTATTTGTACAAAACAGTAAGCATTGTACTCCAATGTAATATATCTGCTATTCACATAAATAAACCAGTCAATTTGAATGTTGCATAATGTGTCTTGGAAAGAACTCAAACACTCGTGTAATCCATCCTGCAGCCACCATGCTCATATACAGGTAGGAAAAAAGAAAAAAAAAAGGGATATCCATATCAAAAGCATATAGCCACTGAAAGCTATTTTATTATTGTGGATTTGCCATTGGCTTCAGATAAATGTAAGCAAGAGTGAAATTGTCAGGACAGTTTATACTGTACATGAATCAATAGACGATATTGATACATGTTGACTAAACGTCCATTCAGGAAAGGGAGAAATAGGTTATCATAGCAACTAAAATGACCATAATTTGGAACATGTTGTAATGACCACTGGAGGCAGAGGGTTGTCTGATGTCATTTGTTAACGAGCACAAACGTACCCTTCTCTGTCTGTCTCTATATACAGTTGCTGCAAAAGAAATATTTGCAGTGTAACAGCAATATAAAGGCAAAACTAAAATAAATCAGATGAAAGAAGGCAAAATATATATATGCAACCAAGCACCACTCCTTCCACCTCACTCCTGTGTTCCTTCATCTTGCTACAGTATGTTACTTCAATTGTGTAGTTTCAAACAATTACCCAGAAGTTGTAATGCTGTAATCTCATTTGTTTCAGACCTGTACATTAGCATAAACCAGAATACTGTGTAGATTTTGGAAGTTGACTGTATAATCATTATCAGCAGGATGACATTAAAGGCTAAAGTGTTACAGTTAAAAGGCTTTTATAAGTAAAATATCTCATAAACAAAATTTATTTGGGTTAACAAGAGCCTATTGGGGGGGGGGGATATGAGTCCTTGGTAAGTCATGATGACTGGCTTAGAAACCAGCCAAGGAGCCTCAATTTAGGAATTTCATATTTTTCACATCAAAGTGATAGTTACATGAAATATGCAGGAAAAGTAATAAAAAACTAGCTACAGTATACACATTTTCTGCTATGTTCAGTCAAGCTCAGTGGCAGACTTTATCATTATCTGTAAATGCATCCAAAAGTTTACATATATTGTACAGTATATTCATTATATCATTCACACAGCAGTGTATAGCTTCAAGTATAAACAAGCATCACCACACTCCAGCAGCACCCAACAGGTTAATAAAAGCAAGTGTACAGTACAGCACTCCTGGTGTGAATCAACATATACTATTTTTTTATATACCACTTCCACACCAACTTGTCTCTTACAATGTATTGTCTACACTAACACCCCACTCACCATGTCCACCCATCTTTCTGGCCTTTCCTCCTCATACCTTACGAGTCACTGAAACACACTCTTCACTGCGACATTCTTATTCTCTATTTATCTTAACACCACACATGCTTCTCACATTGTCCATTGCAACTCTTGATTTTTCATGTTCTTACTATATTGTGGTCTCTCATCTGTACACAAGAGTAACCCAAGCACTTGTTCATGCAGTCCACTCTGTCTGCATCTAGTAATACATTATCTTGTTTTATTTTTCTGAGCTTTCATTGCACCAAGCTACTATCCTTCTCTGACTCTTCCTATTCTTATCTTCAATTGCACAAATTCCTCTTCTATCAATTTTATTATCGTGCACGAATTTCCTTCTCTCTTCACTACCATAACTTTATTTTTCTCATATTCCCAAAAACTGTCTTCTCTCAAACACATCAATATTTTAAACTAGTGTACACACTAGTTCTCCACTAAAAGAACTATATCATCTGCATGCATCAAATTTGACATACTGTATTCTCATTATTCACATTAGGCTTTCTCTAACATTTTTAATGAACCAAAGTAACATTACACCACTCTGGAGTACATCAATATGGATATCAAACCAGCTACTCATTACATCATAAACTCTTAGACATAAGCTACTTGCAGCATTGACAATTTTCACCTAACAGAAACGTCGTCGTCCCTTCAATTTCTAGTGTGTGGTCTGGTCAACATACTTCAGCCACGTTATTGTGACTCATCGCCTGCACCTAACAGAATTTCACCAGCTCCATACATGCTCATCATTCTCTAAAGTCCTTTTATATTTAGTCAAAATTCTTTTTCATGTCCTTAAGGTCATGTACACCTTACAATATTTCACATATGCCTTCGTTTTAAATTCTTATTATAATGTAAGTATCTCACCTACACTCCACCAATGAATCTACCTCATTCATCACAGATTAATTGTTCAACAATTTGCTGTGCAGCATTCCATACACTTTGCCAGCAAATCTAACTAAAACTAAGAGTAACAGCTACTCTTAGTAAACTCAGGTTTTATTCTCAACCCAGAACCAGGGATCCTGGGTTCGATTCCCAGGATGGACAGATATGGTTGGTCACATTTCTTTTCACCTATTGCATTTACCAGTAAATAGGTACTGGGGAGGCAACTTGTGGGATTGCATCCTGGGAAGGGATAGTACTCTGACCTTGGAGGGGGACCTCAATACAAACCTAAAGAATTTGTATATACACAAGCTTCCTGTTTCCGAAAAAAAATTAAAGTAATTACTATAATTCGGTAAACTGATCAACAGATGTTAAATAATTCTAGCAAACTTACCATTTCTACAACTTTTCCATCATCAACAGTATTTTCTATGTCCATGCCTTGTATTTTTTCTTGAGGTTGAGACAGGAGTTCTTGGGTGGATTTACGAAGCTCTGGAAGAAATGACTGTATCTGGCCCAATAAAGGGCTGCGAGCCACCTAAGGAAACAATTCAATACTGTTCAATGTACACAAATGAAGAAAATTACAAATTGGCCACCAACATATTGTCTGTAAACAAGGCCCCTTCAAACTACCCCACACAGTGAGTAAATGGTCATCAACATGTTGCCTGGGAATTACTAAAATCACATTATAATTATAAAAGGGAGGACTTTACTAGTTTCTGTGGCAGAATGCTTGACACTAGAGTAGAGTATATCTACAGTATATCATGACAGTACACATACTTCATATTAAAAGTGCACCTTTTTATGGAAGTTTATAAGTTCATCTAATATAGTGTTCTGACTGAAAATTTAGTAAAGCATGGCATTATATTAACATAGATATAACACCACACTAGTAAAGTATTGTTCACAACAAACTAAGTACAGTACTATACAAACCTTAAATGTTTTTGGCTTATTAGCTAAAGATCCTTTTGGCTTATGTTTTAATAAAGACTCCACAACACTTCGAGGACCTGAAAGACAAATGCAATAAGTTGCATTTTTATATATTTTTCAAATTAAAAACTTAGCTAGCAAATCTAGTACTGTACAGTATCACTTTACATACTTTATACAATACATTTTGTTTTGTTTATCAAATGTGTATGGTTAGCTACAAAATGTAACCTAAAATTGAATGCACAAGTACAATTGTTACAGTTTAGTCCTACTGGCTTACCACCATCTGATAATTACTTACTTAAGCATAAGCACCTTGAGTACAGCACATTATAAGGATAAAAATCTAAGAATAAGTTGATGAAGCTAAGCATGAAGCTAAAACCCAATTAACATCTCCCTAAAGGGACAGTAGGGAAGAAAATGAAAACCATACTCAGTGAGTGACCAAGTGGCCTCCTGGAAATGGGCCAACTCAAAATACAGTACCTGCAAGAAAAGTGTGCTGTAAAGTCCAACACTGCATCCCACTAAGTGGTGCAAACAATTTGGGCAAAGCATCAATGACTAAAAATCCAGAGATTAAAGGCCAACAAAGAATCACTCTCACACTCACTAACGCACTCACTCTCACACTTTTTTTCTTTCGCAGAGTGGTAGACGGTTGGAGCAAGTTAGGTGAAAACGTGATGGAGCCCAAAACTGTCAGTAATTTCAAAGCGTTATACGACAAAGAGTGCTGGGAAGCTAGGACACCACGAGCGTAGCTTTCATCCTGTAACTACACTTAGGTAATTACACACACACACACACACAATGCGTTAATAATAATCTGGAAGAAAATTAGGAGGTTGAAGCAGTTGAAAAACCTGATGCCAGTAGAGGACATTATGGAATACTGTACTTAGAATTTTTTTAAGGAATTTGACTGAAAAGACTTGCTGATAGGCAAGGAAGTAAATGAGATGCATGTCAAGTTTTGAGAAATATATAAAGGAAGAAAAAATTTATACCAAAGCAGAGATGCAGAACTAGGAAACAGGATTGATTCAACAGAAACTGTGAGATGGCCAGAGACCAAAAGACACACAAATGGAATCAATATAGGAAGAGGCCAGACCCCCAAACATACCAGTGATACAAAGATGCAAGAAACAACTACAGTGGAACCTCGAGCGACTCCAGTTACGAGCATTTCAAGCAACGAGCGAGCTACTCGCAGAAAATTTGTCTCGATTGATGAGCTTTTGCTCGATTAACGAGCAAACCACATGGTTCTTCCTGGCGTTCCTGCTGGTTCTCGGACGCCTCGGATGAGAGCATTGTTGTTGTTTCGCATGACGAGCTCAGTGCCGGAACGGATTAAATTCGTTAATCGAGGGGCCACTGTACATGGCAGTGAGGCGAGAGGCAGAAAGAAATATTGAGAAAGGGATAGCGGACAAATGTAAAACCGAACTAGGCCTATTCTATAGATTTATCAACAACAAATTGCAGGTAAAGAATAATATTCATAAGTTGAAAATGGGAAACAGATTCACAGAAAATGAAAATGAAATGTGTGGAAAATTAAACAAAAAGTTCTAAAAGTGTGTTTGTACAAAATTAAATCTTCAGAGAACCAGATACTATATGAATCCCAGAGACCAACATAAAGCACATAAAGGTGTCTAGAGACAAAGTAAAAAAAAAAAAAAAGGCTCAAGGAGTTAAGTAAGAACAAAGCAGTTGGCCCAGATGGAGTTTCACCATGGATTCTGAAAAAATGTGCACCTGAGCTCAGCATTCCACTTCAAGTGATTTTTCAGGCATCCCTGGATACAGGAGTCCTAGCAGATGTGTGGAAAAGAGCTAACAGTTCCAATCTACAAAACTGGCAGCAGGGAAGACCCCCATCAATTATAGACCTGTATTGTAACAGTTAAAATATTAAAACTAAATGAGTAATCACTAGGAGAAAAACTATATAATAACAGACAGTGCCGGACCAACCAGGCTGTAGTGGATATGTGGGCCTGCAGGCTCTCTAAGCAACAGCCTGTTGGACCAAGTTTTCACAAGTCAAGCCTAACCTCAGACTGGGCTTGGGAAGCAGAAGAACTCCCAGAACCCTCTCCAGGTATGCTCCAGACTGTATGGTTTTTGATCTGGAAGATCCTGTGTAACGTACAGTGGCACCTCGACTTACGATTGCCCCTACTTACAATAATTTCGAGTTACGATGTAAATTTCATCAAAAAATGCGACTCGACATCCGATGGTGTCGTCGACTTACGATATTTGTTGGTGCACGTTTGGGTTGACCGAGTGCGTGGTTCCCAGTCACGCGGCAGACCTGCCTCAGTTTACTACAGCTGCCCGCTTAGTGACAATCGCGCCTATAAGAAATTTCGCTTTTGTGGTGATTTTTTGCAATTTGAACATTAAATTATTATATATCATGCCATGAGTCCCAGGAAAGTCAGTGGTAAGGCTCAACATATGAGATCCCATGTAAGGATGACCATAGAGCAGAAACAAGAGATCATTCGTAAATATGAAGATGGTGTGTGGGTTGTTGGACTGGCTAGGCAGTACAACAAATCTCAGTCAACGATATCCACCATACTGGTTAAGAAAAAGGACTTATGGGTGCTAAAGTGATGCATCATTACAGACAAATGTTAAAACGAAGGGGAAAAACAAATGTCTCTTGACAAATTTGTAGTGAGACAAACAAGCACTGAACCACAACCAGGTCCTAGTGGTATTCAGGCAAAACATAGGAGAGTACCCCAGAGAAAACATCACTGCCTGATGTGATAATGGAAGGGGACTCCCCTTCCAAACAGTAACAACTCTCCTCCTCCCCCCCCTTATCACCATCTTCCATATGCCATCAAGAGCCCTCCATAAAGGTAAGATAAACTTAGGTACTGTATTGTAGTTAGAAAAAAACATTGTATTCAGTATAAAATGTATTTGTATGTTAATATTTTGGAGGGTGGGGAACAGATTAATTCAAATCCCTTTATTTCTTATGGGAAAAATTGCTTCGGCTTACGATATTTCTACTTACGATCCGTTTCTGGGAACGGATTAGCATCGTAAGTCGAGGCCCCATTGGATTTACTCAGTTTCTATGATCGAGTCACTGTGATATTACGGGAGAGATGGTTGGGTTGAATGCATCTATCTGGACCTAAAAAAGGCTTTCGACAGTTCCACTTAAGAGGTTGTTTTGAAAACTGGAACATATTGGAGGAGTAACAGGTAGGCTTCTAGCATGGATGAAAAATTTTGACAGAAAATGAGGGCAGTAATCATAGGCAATGTATTGGACTGGAGAAATGTCACGAGTGGAGTACCACAGGGTTCAGTTCTTGCATTGGTAATGTTCATTGTCTACATAAATAATCTACCAGATGCAATACAGAATTATATAAACATGTTTGCTGATGATGCTTAGAGTCAAGGGACTCACCTGGACATAAAGCTGCCAAGTCCCAACATCATAGGGCATGTTTAAAATGTCAAGGGACTCACCTAAGAAGTAAACACTAAAGATAGAAAGACCTCCTCCTCCAGGAATGATGTACAGTACAACAAATTTAATGGCAATTCCTCAGAACCATGGGCTACTGTGGTAACTGAATCTGAGCAAATATTAATAAGTTATCCAATTATCAAATTTTTTATATATGGGTGTAGAAGAGAACTATCAGAAACAAGTGCCAAGCCATTATGACTATATAGCACTTGGAAGGGGTCAGGATAAGGATTTGGGATGGGGGGGGGGGAAGGAATGGTGCCCAACCACTTGGACAGTCGGGGATTGAACGCCGACCTGCATGAAGCGAGACTGTCGCTTCGGCTCTTACAAGTGACTACTTCAACACTTGTGTGGGACAAATTCCAACATCTGGATCAGCTGGGTTATGCCAGGATAGGCTGGGTTATGCCAGGATAGGCTGGGTTATGCCAGGATAGGCTGAGTTATGCTAGGGTAGGCTAGGTTATGCCAGGATGGGCTGGGTTATGCCAGGATTGGCTGGGTGATGACAGGACTGGGTGGGTTAGGCCAAGATTGATTAAGTTATGCCAGGATAGCTTAAGAAACCATATTATGTGTATGAAATCATATGTATTCTTTAACCAGGGCAGCATTTTCTACTAAAGTGATCACCAGTCTGGACTATAATATACAAGACTATATATTATAGTCCATCATTTATCGTTCGAAAGTTCTGAAATTGATTTAAAAATCTATGTAACCCAGCCTAACCTAATGATATACACAGTCTTCACAATCAGTGAGCTTTGTGGAAACTGCTGTGTACGACTTGATCCATAAGGAAGAGCGTGGATCAGTATAATAATATGGTATACTGTTGACCAGACCACACTAGAAAGTGAAGGGACGACGACGTTTCGGTCCGTCCCGGACCATTCTCAAGTCGATTGTAAGATGACTTAAGAATGGTCCAGGATTGACCGAAACGTCGTCGTCCCTTCACTTTCTAGTGTAGTCTGGTCAACATTTTTCAGCCACGTTATTGTGACATATCGTCTGCCTGTGGTATACTGACTTCCATCTCCCGTGATGGAGAGAAGGTCCCTGGAGGAGGCTGCAGGCGAGGCACTCGGTGTGAGGGACGTCTTCATGCTGCCTCAAGTTTGCGTGAAGGGTTTCTTCTCCCGATGACTGAACGAACTGTAATGGTGCAAGACGCTTCAGTGTTTATGGTCTGACAAGACTTGAATGTTGTGTTTTAGTTAGACGTTGTTATCGTTGATTTAGGGGGCGACGAGGAGCGTGTGTAGAGTTTGAATTGATGCTCAGCGGCAAGGTCTGTTGTTGTTGTTGGGTGGGGGGGAGGGTTGCCAGGTCCCACTTGCTGGAAGTAGCGGGCCCAATATTTTGTTTAGCGGATGATACGGTTTTCAGAGCAATTTATTTTAATACATTGCATGATTTAATGATTTTATTAATATCGTTGCATGTATATAATAAAAAAAGTGATCAATGGATAACTTACTGATATCTGCTGCGTGAAGCATAATTTACCTGAATATACCTGGTAAATTATGCTCCATGCAGCAAATATTAGTAAGTTATACAATTAATACTTTTTATATATAGGTGTAGAAGAGAAGGGAACGCTCAGAAACAAGCGCCAAGCCATTATGACTATATAGCACTTGGAAGGGGTCAGGATTAGTGGGGGGGGGGGGAAGAAATGATGCCCAACCACTTGGAAGGTCGGGGATTGAACGCCGACCTGCATGAAGCAAGACCGTCGCTTCGGCTCTCATAAGTGACTGCCCCAACACTTGTGAGGGACAAATTCCAACAGCTGGATCGTCACTATTGAAAAATATCAAGAAGAACTTCTTCGTCTGCATCCACAACCTCAGTCTTATATATTGCAGACTTACATTTTATCACTGACATACCTGGTTCAAATGATGAGCAACAAGTGCCTTTTTCTTTAAGATATATTTTGATTCACACGATTGATGTCAAAACTTATAGTCCCATTCGATTTCTCAGTTTTCGTTAGTTTTCCCAGATGTTATCCTCGAAAATACTCATTCAACCAGGGCATTACCGATTTGTAAGCTGTATATTTTCAATGTCAATGTTGCTAGGGTTAATGAGTTGCCCGAAACGCCATGCGTACTAGTGGCTTTAGGTATTGTATGTACTAGCTCTATCTATAAATCCAACATTATGTTTGTAAATCAACTATGTATGTACTTTCCTGAATAAAATTTACTTTACTAATATTCCCATCTCACATGATGGTATCCAGTCATACATGGAATCAGGGAAGAACATAAGGCTGATCTATTAGCCTCGAATACTGATACAAACTAGTAGCTCGACTATTCAGTCAGTGATATAGACTGGTAGCCTCAGTTATTAATATAATGTAATGACCCAGGTCAGACTCTGGTCTGAAAAAGTACCAAGCATTGGTAACCAAAGAAAACGTTTGTATGGTGTCAGTGCCAGAACCACCCGCCAGGGGTCCTGAAAACAACAGTCGAGGCGTCAGCTGGGAAGGTGCAAAAGAATTTGTAAAGGGACCAAAAACCTTTACGCTGTTCATGTGTCAGAGAAAACCTTTGCACTAGAGGTAAGGCATGACTGTTGGATAGGTAGTGAGCTTGAGGAGACCAGCTGTAGCGCCGCAGGGGTGACCAAAGCTGCGCAAATCACAGGAAGAGGTGCACCTACAGCTACTCAGGATCTGTAACTGACGACAAGCTTCAAGAAGAGCCTGCTAGTGTTAATATCGTGGACGACAGTATAAGGCAAGCGTAGGGGCGGACATGTGTGAGAGGTCACCATTTATAATCTCTACATTGTTTACACTGGTGGATCATAGATGATAACAGCCACTTCCTGACGCTCGGACTTGGCGACGGCTTGGACAAACAATCCTAGCCTAATCCAACATTTGTATGTTCCACTGAATAATTTGTACCAAATTCTATTTGTTTAATCATTCAGGGATGTGGTAGAGCAGGGTTCATGAAGGCGAGGATGCACTAGAATTTCAAAGTAGAGTATACACTTGTAGGTTCATTATTCTTAAATATTTGTATCATTTGGTAATGTCCTAAATTATTCTGATACCCTGAAATGTTGTCAAATACTAAACAATTAATCTGTTGCATGCAGGATCATGGTTACGGAGGAAGCGGGTCCCATACCAAAAATCAAGATAATGAAAATCAAGAAAAACAAAATGAAAAAGTCTAAAAAGAAGTTAAAGAAAGGATTAGAGGTTAGTATACATTAGCAGAAGGTTCAGTTCGTGTAAAATTTTAGGCCAATCTGATGTTTTCCTTTGAATAGCAATGTAGTACTGTAGTTCTTTTACTGTATATTATTTGATATGATATGAAGTATGTAACACTTAAAAGCAAGAAACTTTCATTTAGGCTACACAGTGAATCAGCTTTAGACAATCTTACAGAGGCACTTCACAATATTAACTGGGATTCTGAATTCAATAATACCCATGATATAAATTCATTAGCTAACCTCTTCCTCTCCAAAACTCTAAGCCTCTACAACCTTCATTGTCCCCTTCTTACAAAGCAAGTAACTGACAAAAGATTAAACAATCCATGGCTCACAAGTGGCATTCTCAACTCAATCAACAAGAAACATGAATTTGAAAAGAAAGTTAGGATTGGCCTAGTTTCAAAGGAAGTAGCTAAAAGGTACTCATCAATGCTTACCAGTATCATAAGAAAGGCAAAACTTGCATATTATGTGAATAGATTCAATGAAGCAAAAGGCAACATGAAAAACACTTGGAAAACTATCTCTAGTATCCTAGGAACTAAGCAACACTCACATAACCAAATAAAACTCTACAAGGATGGGGATATACCGTCAACTGATTTAGAAATGGCAAATGAATTTAATAGTTTCTTTTCATCGGTTGGTGCTAATCTTGCCAGTAAAATCCCACAGACTCAGACACATATTAACACATATCTCTCGGGCAGCTATCCAAACTCTCTTCTCCTTTCACCAATCAGCCCGGCAGATGTTGTGTCCATCATACACTCTCTAGAAACCAAGGCAGGGAACACCAGTGAAATTCCGTCCATTGTGTACAAGAGAGCCTCCCATGCCCTTGCCCCACCCATAGCACTACTGTTCAACAAATCTATAGTGTGTCACACCTTCCCTGATATCCTCAAAAAAGCAAGAGTAACGCCAGTCCATAAAGGAGGCAATCCGGCGGACATAAACAATTATAGACCAATATCAAATCTACCCATTCTATCAAAAATATTTGAAAAAATTATTTACAAACAGCTCTATTCCTACCTCGTAAAATTCGACATACTCAGCCCCTGCCAGTTTGGCTTCCGGTCCCAAAAGAGCACCAACGATGCAATCATTAGTCTCCTTGACGTTATCTACTCAGCCCTTGACAAAAATGAGTTTCCGATTGGACTCTTCATTGACCTAAGAAAAGCCTTTGATACTGTTAATCACAACTACCTCTTACTTAAACTCCAGCATTATGGAATCCGAGGCCTTGCCCTTGACTACATCCGATCCTATCTTAGTGACAGACACCAATATGTAACCATCAATGATACAACTTCGTCCATTCTACCAATTACCGTTGGAGTGCCACAGGGCAGCATCTTAGGACCTCTTCTATTTCTTATATATATAAACGATCTGCCTAATGTCTCTAATATTCTCAAACCTATACTGTTTGCTGACGATACTACTCTTATCTATTCAAACCTCAACCCACATACACTAAATAATGTTGTGAATAATGAATTAAAAAAAGTCCACTTATGGATGTCAACGAACAAACTAACATTAAACATCGAAAAGACTTACTACATCTTATTTGGAAGCAAATCATCAAATGCAATTCAGCTACAGATAGACAACATTAACATCAGTAATAAAGATGATGGCAAGTTTCTTGGCCTATTCCTAGACAAGAGACTCAACTTCAGCACCCACATTCAACACATAACTAAGAAAGTCTCTAAGACAGTTGGTATACTCTCCAAAATCAGATATTATGTTCCTAACTCTGCTCTCCTCTCACTATATTATGCACTAATTTACCCCTATCTTAATTATGGTATCTGTGCATGGGGGTCTACCACTGCAAACCACCTTAAGCCCATCATCACACAGCAAAAATCTGCTATCAGAATTATAACTAACTCAGCTTTCAGACAACACTCAGCTCCCTTGTTTAAATCCCTAAACTTGCTAAATATTAACTCCCTCCACACATTCTCTTGTGTCAACTACATTTACAAAACCCTGTTCTTAAATGCAAACCATGCTCTGAAACTCTCCCTGGACAGATGTAATAGGACCCATTATCACCACACCAGAAATAAATATCTCTTTGATATCCCCAGGGTCAAACTTAATCTGTGTAAACACTCTATGCAAATTAAGGGACCTAGTTTATGGAACTCACTCCCTAGTGAATTGAAAAACTGTAAAACTTTTGCCTTATTTAAAAGCAAAACCAAAAAGTACCTAACTTCATCTTCTTAGTTTCCTACACTGAGCTTTAAATTTGCTCTGTACCTAGTGTTACCCAATCTCCTAATTTTTATGTAATTTCAAACAACCTTATCATTGTGTTCATTGCTGTCTTCTTTTATGTGCTAGCCATATGCTGTATTGTGACTACCAATTTTTGTCAACTACCATTCAAGCTGTCATTGCAACCAATCTTATATTGTTTCTGCTGTATTATGCCTACCAATTTTTTTGTCAACTACCATTCAAGCTGTCATTGCAATCAATCTTAGCTACCTATGTGCTTTAATATACTGTACCTACAATTTTCTCTCATCTTTTTTTTCATTTCATGTAATCTGTTATCATTTTTTGTCTATAATTTTGCAAGTATTTACCTCCTTATAATTTTCTTAGATTAAGGACCTGCCCGAAACGCTGCGCGTGCTAGTGGCTTTACAAGACTGTAATTACCATATTTGTATCCTCACATTCCTTATGTACATTCTTGTATATGCATAAATAAAATAAAATAAAATTAAGCTTTGGTTTAACACTTGGCACCACTGTGGTGCCGTCTGTCTTGCTGCCGTTGTGTCTATACATTGTACTGCTTTTGAATTTATTCTGACCTCTTTTTTTTTATGGAGAGTTGAATTTTAAAGTTATAGAATTATCCTCTTTATAGCAACCATGACCTTCTGTTTAATGTCTCCTTACTCTGCTATCAATAGGGCAGTATTTTTTTTATATTATTACAAGGCAGACAGCAATTCAAGTAAAAGGTTGCTGATGTAAGGTAAATGGAAAATATTTGTTCATGCTCATTCTGTTCTACATAAACTGTGTTGTTTTTGATACTGCCTGATAACTACAGTATTTTGTAAGAAGGACTATGAATATTCAGATACCCTAGTAGTATATAGGACAGTAATATGAAGAAACTAGAAATTATATATATATATATATACACACATATATATATATATACACATATATATATATATACACATATATATACATATATATATATACATATATATATATACATATATATATATACAAGATATATATAGGGATATAAAAGTATTGTAGCGTATAGCCTCATGTTTGCATGTTAACACTTTCACCCAGTGATCACGCAGTGTGTGGCAAAATGTTTTCTCACGGATGTACGCCAATCACGCATATTGCGTCGTAAATTAAAATATTCGTTAAAATTCTAATTTTTATTTGATCATTCTTGGACTGGTTTCATAATGAGCGCCTTTAGATTGCACACAATTTTATACCATAATGAACAACATAGCCTGACAATTGAGGTCAGAACACTGGAAAGATTATGAATACTCTTGTGATGATGAGCATCAATACTCTTGTGATGAGCATCAATACTCTTGTGATGATGAGCATCAATACTCTTGTGATGATGAGCATCAATACTCTTGTGATGATGAGCATCAATACTCTTGTGATGATGAGCATCAATACTCTTGTGATGATGAGCATCAATACTCTTGTGATGATGAGCATCAATACTCTTGTGATGATGAGCATCAATACTCTTGTGATGATGAGCATCAATACTCTTGTGATGATGAGCATCAATACTCTTGTGATGATGAGCATCAATACTCTTGTGATGATGAGCATCAATACTCTTGTGATGATGAGCATCAATACTCTTGTGATGATGAGCATCAATACTCTTGTGATGATGAGCATCAATACTCTTGTGATGATGAGCATCAATACTCTTGTGATGATGAGCATCAATACTCTTGTGATGATGAGCATCAATACTCTTGTGATGATGAGCATCAATACTCTTGTGATGATGAGCATCAATACTCTTGTGATGATGAGCATCAATACTCTTGTGATGATGAGCATCAATACTCTTGTGATGATGAGCATCAATACTCTTGTGATGATGAGCATCAATACTCTTGTGATGATGAGCATCAATACTCTTGTGATGATGAGCATCAATACTCTTGTGATGATGAGCATCAATACTCTTGTGATGATGAGCATCAATACTCTTGTGATGATGAGCATCAATACTCTTGTGATGATGAGCATCAATACTCTTGTGATGATGAGCATCAATACTCTTGTGATGATGAGCATCAATACTCTTGTGATGATGAGCATCAATACTCTTGTGATGATGAGCATCAATACTCTTGTGATGATGAGCATCAATACTCTTGTGATGATGAGCATCAATACTCTTGTGATGATGAGCATCAATACTCTTGTGATGATGAGCATCAATACTCTTGTGATGATGAGCATCAATACTCTTGTGATGATGAGCATCAATACTCTTGTGATGATGAGCATCAATACTCTTGTGATGATGAGCATCAATACTCTTGTGATGATGAGCATCAATACTCTTGTGATGATGAGCATCAATACTCTTGTGATGATGAGGATCAAAATTTTAAATATTTGTTAAAATTCTATTTATTGTCCTTTTATTATGGGACTAGTTTTAAAATATGCGCCTTTAGATTGTGCAAAATTTCATACCGAAATGAACGATGTAGATCAGAAATTAATGGCAGAACACTGGATATACAGTATTATAAATACTTGTGTGGTGATGAGCGTCCAAAAATTTAAATATTTGTTAAAATTCCATCTCTTGTTCAGTTATTATGAGACTAGTTTTAGAACTTTTGCGCACGGCACGGGCACAGTGCAGATTTGACGTCATGCGCCCTAGCGGTGCGTGCGGCGACACCGAAATGTTTTTACTCGTTTCAATTTTCTCACCGTAATTCTCGTGCTACGTTTTTCGTTTTGACATCATTGTGTTCACAATAGAATTCCCTACAGGGGTATATGCATATAAGGTCCAAAAGCCCGGAGCAACTCCCCAGAGCAAAGCCTAAAATCGGCAAAAGTTACCCGTGAGCGCACAAAATCAGTAAAATGTGTATCCTCGTTTCGGTTGTCTCACCTTAATTGTCGTGCTACGTCGTTCATTTTGGTATCATTGTGTTCGCAATTGAATTCCCTTCAGGGGTATATGCATATAAGGTCCAAAATCTCAGCATGACTCCCCTCAGCAAAACCTAAAGTCGGCCAACCGTTACCCGTGAACGAGCACCAATTGGCACACCCGCAACTTAATGTGTATACTCGTTCAGTTTGATAACATCAATTTTCGTGTTACGTCTTTCATTTTGGTATCAAATTGTTCACAATATAAAGATGCATATTTTAAAACTAGTCCCATAATAATGGAACAATAAATGGAATTTTAACAAATATTTTAAAATTTGGACCACAAAAGTATTTATAATCTTTCAAGTGTTCTAACCTCAGTTGTCAGTCTACATCATTATTATTGTGTCAAATTGTGCGCAATATAAAGGCGCTCATTTTGAAACCACTCCCAGATTGATCAGAAAAAAATTTAAATTTTTAACAAATGTTTTAAAATGGACCCAAGCATGTGTTCATCGCTCAGAATCGGGAGAAAAATGATGGGCTTAAGTACGTGTCCATGGAGTGCAATAGTATAAAATGTGCGCCTTTAGGCTGTGAACATTTGATACCAAAATGAACGACATAGCTCAGAAATTGAGGTCAGAACACTGGAAAGAGTATAAATGTCCCAGGAATCGCCGGGCTGGGTACGAATTTCCGGGAACACAAAAGTGTTAAGTTTAGGAAGGGCTGTCAATATTATGGGAAATTTATTATTCTAGCCACTTGGGACATGAAGAACAGACTATTTTTATCTCCTTTTTCTAAATAATGATTCAAACAGTCCTCTTTTTTATTTTTAACTTTATATTAAATATGCTGTACAATATTAATAATTATTGTACAGTATTAATACTGTACATTACTTTAATACTGTAACTATTAAATTGAAATGATTGAATAATTGAGTTTTAGGCAATTTTTTAACAATTTGTGATTCTCATACATGAGTAGCCTACTGACAATGTGAAGTTGATGCTTGCCTGCAGCTTCCCTATTTACCACTGTATGTGCCAAATGATATGAGGAAGTTTTGCAAGTGAATGTCATGATGGCCACACACTACTCTTTATCCTCATCTCATGGATTTATGTGATGAAACTTGAATATAAGCAGAGGTGGGAAATACCTGACCATCATCTGTTGTAATTCAGACTGGCTGTGATTAATTTAATGGAAAATTATTTAAAGGTTTCAAAAGAGTTATGAATATAATATGGCATATTTGATTCTTACTTTAGTTTTCTTTAATTGGCAGAATCAAGATTCAGAGAGCGAGATTGATAACTTGGATTTGAGTCAGAAGCTGTATCCACTCTCTCACTATGTATCTGACCAAGAGGAGCTTGTCAATCAAATGTTGGCAACAATACGAGGGTCCAAGCTAGAGGCAATGCTTCCACCAGTGCTCAGGGTCAGTGCTTCCACCAGTGCTAAGGTCAATGCTTCTACTAGTGATCAGGATCAGTGCACACCAATCACTTTACTTCAGAAATAAAGTCTAACAATATTTATTCATGTAACTATAGTTACATCTATTCACTTAGTCCCACTGCATGACATGTGAAGAGCTGCGAAGTGCTGCATGAATAGACTCAATAACTGCTGGTATAATCATGCCTCTATGCAGGGGAAAGGAGTCAGGTAATAGGATGTACCATTAGACTTGAATCAATAAATCAACTTTTATGTTTAGGAAATGGTATGTTCAGTACAAGCCAGATAAATCTAAGGTACTGTATTTACAAGAAACTAAATTATGCTGTACAGGGCAAGAGTTCATGGTATATGTAGCAAAACACAAACCGTGAAGATTATTCAATTATTATTTTCTATTAGTTTATGAGTCAGATATATTGTTATAAGGCTTTTATATACAAATTATTTTTCCTTATAAAAAAAATTCATAGGAAGGCATTCCTTCTTGGCATCCAGCATCTCAAAATACAAGCTATTAAGAACACAGTATTCATGTGAATTTGTTTCACTGTAGCTCCAGCTACTGAACCCATACTTATTGTTGTACTCACCACTAGTTATTACTGTAGCCATCACTGTAGGGGTAAGTTCACCGTATAAATTATGTAAAAAGTCTCTACTAATTGAAAACGGCAACAAATGCACGTGAACATCCAAGGCTGTTGTGTAGCCATATCTGGAGAAAAACAGCAGTACCAATATCAGGATCCTTTTGTATGTAACAGAATCTTGTTACTGTGTATTAGTATTCTTTCCCAAACTTGTATACAGTAATTTAGAAAAAATCTGAAATTCCTGTGTTTTTGCTTGTGTTAAAATGAATATATAATGTTTGTCATAGGTGAGGAACATGTTATTTAAAGCTACGCATAAAACTACAGTAATTATTCTTTTCACAGAGCATTCCACTGAAGGAGCTGAAGAAGCTCTGCCTTCATGAGTTACGTGGAATGAGCAAGAAGCGCATTCTCTGTTGCATTAATGGTGAGTAGTTAAGATACTCTGTACAGAAGGGAAGGGAACTATCAGGATAAAGTGTCAGGCCATTACAACTATATAGCACTTGAAAGGGGTCAGGATAAGGATTAGGGATGGGACTGGGGGAAGGAATGATGCCCAACCACTGGGACGGTCGGGGATTGAACGACGACCTGCATAAAGCGAGACCGATGCTATACTATCCAGTCCAAGTGGTTGTACACTGACCCTGTTCTGTACAGAACAGTCAATTGTTTAGGACAGATGTGGCCAATCTGTGGACTAGAACCACCACACATAAATTAATGATCCCATTAGCATCAGAGATAACATAATAGTTGAGATAGGCTCCTAGCCCCACCTGAATGTTCTTAGATTAATGCAATTACTCATTTTTTATGCTTTTATCATATTTACATTTAAAACTTTGAATCAGATTAACTTCAACAACTACTACATCTAACCTGTTCCAGTTACTCACAGCTCTGACACTGAAAAAGTTCTTTCTGACGTCCCTGTGACTCATTTACGTCTTGAGTTTCCATCTATGACCCCCCTAGCTTTGAATAATGATTCTTTGTCCACCTTATCAATTTCCCATAGAATCTTATGTATCCCCCCCCCCCCCTCCCACCATCTCCTTTCCTTCAGTGTGGTAAGGTTCAGTTCTCTTAGTCTTTCCTCACTGCTTAAGCTCTTCAGCTCAAAATGAGTCTTGTTGCATATCTCTTTTTCTTTTCTAGTTTCTCCTTGTCCTTTGAACGAACCTTTGACATTTCTCCTTTTTTCAATTTTTTTTTCTACAAAATTGGAGCAGGGTACCTGACATACACTGAACGAACCTTTTCTATAAAAAGATGAAAAAAAATTGTACAAATCTGAAAAAGGACAAAATGTCAAAGGTTTGTTCAGTCTATGTCAAGTAGGCTGCTCCATTATTTAAAATATCGAATATCATATTGATGTTTTTCAGTGGTAGAACAGATTAATTTTATTTCCATTATTTTAAATGGGGAAATTCATTTTGAAAGACGAGCGTTTCACATGATGAGTTAGGTGCCGGAATAGATTAAATTCGTTAATCGAGGTTCCACTGCAGTAGTAAATCATTTTGAAGATTGTATTTTGTTGAGCTTTTATTTAATTCACTAGAAAATAAAGACCTCATTACAAGAGTATTAGAAATTTGTTTTTATAATTACAGTATGGTAAAATTTAGATTTCAGCATTTTGTAACAAACAAAAAATTCTTTCCAGGGTATGTGAAAATGATTCATCGCACACTTTAACATTGCACTTGTCCAACCACTTGGACTAGACGGTAGAGCACACTTTAGCCTTGCTTCTTGTAGGTCGGTGTTCAATCCCTGACCATCCAAGTCGTTGGGCATCTTTCCTTTCCAACATTTTATCCCAAATCCTCATCCTCATATCCCTTCCAAGTGCTATATAGTTGTCATTTATATATGTTTATACATTAAGGTACAATGGGTTTGTGAGAACACATAACATTGGTGTTCTTACATTCTTGCAAAGCCACTAACACGCATAGCTTTTCAGGCAGCATAATGGCTTTGAGATATTTTTGAGATATATACAAGAGTTGTTACATTCTTGTACAGCCACTAGTACGCGTAGCGTTTCGGGCAGGTCCCTGGAATACGATCCCCGCTGCAAAGAATCGTTTTTACAACCAAGTACCCATTTTACTGTTGAGTTAAACAGAGGCTACAGTTAAGGATTTGCGCCCAGTAAATCCTACCCTGCCAGGATACGAACCCATGACTAAGCGCTAGCGGAACACCAGGCGAGTGTCTTACCACTACACCACGGAGACTGCGACTTGGCTTACCACTACACCACAGCTTGGCACTTTCTCCTGTTAATTATCTTCCCTTTAGTATAGCTCCATTTATTTATAGATGGTTTTGTGATACAGTATTCTAATTTAATGATATGTTTCCTCAAAATTTAGAATTTAACATTGTCTCATTCAGAATGTTTATCCGAGGTTGGAATGTTCTATGTGGAGTTTATAATATGGTAGACAATTTGTGGTTGGCAGGTGTGGTGATGGAGGGGTCATCTGGTAGTGAAGAAGATGAAGAGGAGGAGAAGGCAGAGGAGCACCTAACAAATGAGGAAACTAGCACTCAAGACAATACCACAAGGTGAGTGGAGATATATTGGTTGTTTTGGGACTGTGTTAAAACCCACTATGATGCACGCGCTCAAACTCCCTGCCTGGATGGAGAGGGTTGCCTCGTTGTTGTGTATTGTCTTGTGCTGCAACAACTGGTTCATTAATACCAATTCTAAAATGCCAAGGACATTGTATTACATCACTCCTTTCCCCAATGACCAAGGAAAGGCAAGGTTTATGATTTGAAGCTCCCCCCCCCCCCCTTTTTTTTTCTTACAGATGTCGCATGTGTCTCGTCTTTCGTTGTTGGGTGTCCTGATAGTTTGGTTAGTGATTGCTGAGCACTCTCACTTCCATTAAGGACAGAGAACTTGACCTGACACAAGTTTTGTTAGATCAGTCATGTATTCCAGTGTTTTGCAGTTGGACGAAGCACTAGGTGACAAACACAATGCTATAAGATGCAGTACAGCTATTGGTCTTGTGACTTGTATATGCAATACCCTGTTTGCTTTCCTGATCTGAGAGTTATAGAGAAGCACTCGAGTTCATGCATGCATGTACAGACTGGAGGGCTGTCAGTCCCAGGATTTTGATGCCCAAAATTCTTCCTTCCATCTCCTGTGTTCAGCCTGTTGGGTTGGTTGCTTTCATCTTTTGGGGTCTTTTGTTCTCTCTTTGTCTGTGTTAGATTCATATCTTAGGAAGCAACCAAATATAATACATCAGAACCATTATGGCTTTCAAAGGCATTTTTCATATTGACTCGAAGCATTATTTTTGTATTGTTGGTATCCTTGGGCCAACTACTGAAATTGTTAGGTTATTAACTGTCATGTTGTCCTCAACACAATCTGTCTTATCATTTTACATCCATTTGCACTCTTAATGCTGGGTGTAGATGGCTGAGTGGAGTGAAGGAGTGTTGCTAACTTGTCCTACTCATCTCGTCCAGGATTTGAAGCTAGGTCTTCTTGTTTGTGACACAAGCATACAAGCCACACCATAGTGCGCTCCATATTTAGCTAATGAGTTTTAAATTAGTATGTGTAGAGGTTACCAGGGGAAGTGGTGACTGAGGAAGAAACCTTAGGATGACATACTGTGTAGTAAGATACAGCTACCACAGTGTACATACAATGATAGTTAATTGCATACAGTACAGTATTATAATTATTATTCTCTTATCATTTAGCATAAAGCAACATTAATGTTGTAAATAATAGTTGCAGTAAAGACTTTTCACACATACATATCTCAATACTTGTATAATTATTAAAATTTGTATCAATATTTCCATTGTAGGGATGAAAAGAGAAAGTGTAATGAGCAGACACCTGAGGCATTCCTACTGAAGAAAATCAAGGTGGAGCCAGGCCTGGAAGATACAACAGAAGGGCAAAGTCCTGATACGGGCAAGAGTGTTCTGGAACTTCTTGAGCTAGAGATGAGAGCTCGGATCATCAAGACAATGCTGGAGAAGGGCGACGAGGGAAAGAAAATAGCAGAAGATGCAATAGCAGCAGTCATGCAGAGTGCAAAGCAAATAACAAAGGAAGGTAACCAAATGATGAGTGAGATAGAGACGGTGGGTGTGGAAGGTGAGGCAGTAATGGCTGATGCAAAGGATAACTTGCAGCAAAAGGTCATAGGGGATGAGGTAAGTAATGAAGGCAGGAAAGGGGAGAGAGTTAGTATCAGTAAAGATGGAAGGTCCAGTCGCAGAAGACATCATAGGTCAAGAGGAGATGAGAGGCGGAAGGACATGAGGCGAGGTCGAGACAAGAGAGACAGAAGCCACAGTGATAAGAGTGATTGTGGCCATGGGAAGAGATCAAAGGAAAGAACAAATTCAGATAGACATGTACAAAAGAAAAAGAAAATCACCCGAAAAGAATTTGAAGAGCGTATGAAACGTGCCAAGAAAAATAGAACTTATCGCCAACGTAAACCTTCAGAAGACGAAGAGAAAGCAAAAGAAAAAGATGAGCCTGAACCAAAGATAGATGAGATAAATAAAGATCAAGAAAAGGGGGAAGTAGAGTCATCGAAAGGTGATGCTGAAGGAGGAGAAGCTTCTCAGAGCAAACCTACTGTGGAAGCTGTTGGTGAAGTCTCGGAGAAGGAAGAAGGTGAGCTAGACAGCAATGAGGAAGAGGAGGGAGCTTGTACACCTAGTGATGTTTCCAGTGCAAGCAGCTATTATTCTTCATCACCAAGTAGCTGGAAGAAGAGCTATAGTAGCAGAAGCAGGTCCAAAAGTTATAGCAGAAGTCGTTCAAGAAGTCCAGGTAAGAGGAGGAGGAGGAGGAGCTACACTCGAAGTCGCACAAAATCGAAGAGTCAAGAAAGGAAGAGCAAAAATGATGGAAAACGATATTATGAACGAATGAAGAAAGAGCCAGTTAAAGGTGACAGCATAGGCAAAAGAAGTACTGCAAAAGTTCCTCCAGTAAATCCCAAAGATAATAAAGAGGAAGAGGAAAACTGGGGGCAAAAGTGTGATATTGAGTTTGTTGATTCAGAAGAAGACTTTGATGATAATCCTGACATAGTTAAGGAGACTGTTGGCACAAAGCCTCCATCAGTAGTCAAGGGTCAAGTAATAGAGCGAGCCAGCATTAGCTTCTCGTTCCAGAGGAAACCAGGACCAAATATAGCCCCAAGTGTAGATTTGGATGACTTGCCTTTGAAGCAGGCTCGAAACAATAAGAGAGTTGATGAAATTTCATCAGAAATTGGAATAACTGCAGTAACTACATCCAATAAGAAAGCAACTGAAGAAATTGTTATAAGCTCAGACAGTGAATCAGAAAAGCAAATTATGTCTGTAACAGCCTCATCTACAAGAAATAAGAGAGTTGTAGAAATACCCAAGCAGATAAATCCTAAACAAACACATCCTCTTCGCAAGAGGAATAGTGTCACAAAATTACAACCAAAATCAAAGATTCAAGAGGATATGGAAAATAAGACGAAGGGTTATGTTGCAGACTGCCTTGCAACAGAAAGACAGGATCAAATTATAGATAGTGAAGCTCTGAAAAAGTTGAAGAAAGATGATATTGGTGTTAAAGTGTCTAATACTAAGGTGCACAAACAAAAGCAAAATAAACTTAAGGTAGACATAGAGAAAACTGGAGAAAGCCAAAGAACAATGCAGGAGCCTAAAGTTCACAATGAGGCTGCAGGTAAGATTCAAATGAAAATTCAGGCAGGAGACAAGGGTGCATTAGATGTAGCCAAGATCAGTAATGATGATACACACACACAGTTGGGTGGATTGATGAGTATGGAGGTGAAGTGTTATGAAGAAACAGTATTGAAAGACAGTGATAAGCTTAACAATTTTCAGATAATGGAAAATCCTGATGTTGCAACAATAAATGAGCAAGTGAAACATGGAGATGCTGTAATCAGCCAGAGTTGCACATTGGAAGTGATGCCAGAGTTATCGCACAGCATTTCTAAATTAATAAGCAAGGAAGAAAACCATAATTTAGATAACATAAATAATACATCAAAAGATGAGACAACAATGGATGGTGCAAAGGAAGTGTGTGAGGCATACAATAAAAGCATTACCCAAGATGATGACTTGTGTGACTATGGCATGATATGTGAAGCAAGTAAAGATCATGTTGCAAAAATTGATAATGAAGGACCCGAGCAGCAAGAAGTTGCCTTGGAAATGCATGAAAGTGTTTCATTAGTTAAAGTAATGGAAAAGAGTCTAAATCAAGATCAAAATAATGTTGAAGGACTTGAAGACAGAATGAGTGAAGCAACACCAGATAGTCTAAGCAAAGGCTGCATAGCACAGGAGATGCAGGAAATAGATAAAAGTGGTAGTAATACATCTGAGCAATGTTTACTGACAGAGCTTGAAAAACTGACAGTTTGTGAAGATGATGATGATGGCAAAATGGAGACAAGTGTAAATATTGAAGACAGTAAAGATGAGCAGTTTACAGAAGATTGTTATGACGAGGAAGAGCATCTAGCTTTGAGTGAAGATGATAAACATAGTGATATGGACAATATTAAGCAATATGTAAAAGATGATATTCCAGTTGAGCCAATTAGGATTGAGACGGGGCTGATTCGCAAGCGTGTATTGCGGCAACAGAAGGTAGAGATGACAGTACCAGGCATATCATGGACTAAAAGAGAGAGAAAGAAAAAAGAAAAATCAAGAGATACCCTTGTTATGGAGGGAATTGGATTCTTAAAAAAATCACTCTCTGAAAATGCACAGAGTTCTCCATTAAGGGAAAATGAAGAAGCATCATTAGAAACAAATAGATCCAGTGAAAGACTGGAAATGGAGGAAACAGTGAGCAGTGGTGTAGCCTCAGCAAGTGAGACAGATAATTCATTACTGGCAGAGGACAATGCACCTACCTCTTCCAACTTACAGTCCCCCAAAGATACTCGGGGACCCTCCCCAGATGTTGCAAGTTATGAAGAGTATGAACCAAAATCAGATGAAAAAATCCAGAAGAAAATTGGCCAAGAAACTGAAATTATTGGAGTTATTGAAACCAGTAAAGATTCGAGTTCAGACACTTTTGATGACATTGAATTGGGAGGATCAAGTTGGAGTATGAGATGGCTTCAAAGTGAAAAAGTTCAAAAAGTTGTCACAAGTAGTAAGATGTTAAGCAGAGTACGCAAGAAGTTCCAGAAGAGGGAAAAAGCCACGAAGGTGGTAACAGAGAAGGTGGAAGAACCTCAGAAGAAGACATCGGAGCCTTTTGTCCCAGTTATTGGCAGCATTGAGGAGTATGAGCGACTTTTTGGTATGACGATTAAGAAGGATGCAGAGGAAGCATCCAACTCTCCTAGCCCAGCATTGCAGGTTACAGTGGGGCAAGTAGAACAGACCAGCCAACCTATTGCTGAACAGGACAATGTGTCTGACCCAAGCAAAGTTGTTCCTTGCACAGTTGTCCCAACCTTTGGATCAGATGATGAAGGTGAAGACAGTGAGGAAGAAGCTCTTTGGTCCAAGATCTTGGGAAAACGATGATAAACGAGACTGGTAAACCTACGGTAATGGTGCTTCATTTAGAAACAATAAATGAAGGACAATACAAGTGTTAATTGTTGACATTTTTGCAACGTGTAAATAGTTAAGTATGTAAAAATAAATATGCGTGCTGATAATATTGCTTCCTGAAACTTAAGCTTTATAAATAAATATTTAAACAGTAAAATTTTATTTAAAATGCTTTTATCATTTACAAATTATGTATATTTGCTGTATTACTTTAACTATCACATTTATTAAAAAAAAGGCATTTTCACAGCTTGGGGGTTCACTGTACATGAGGTTCACTGGGTATCTGGGTTGCTGGACTTGAGATTCACTGTAAAGTAATCTCTATCAACTCGTGTAATTTTCATATTTTTGCTAAACATTGTTTCAAATAATATTTATAAATAAAACAATGTTGTCCAGCAAAAGTATGGATGCATCTTGTCTGAGGTATGGGTGCATCAGACAAGGGTACAAGGAACTTCCTTACCATTGATAAGATGGCCAAGTTATTAAGAGAAATGTGATTATGGCTGGGGAGGCAAGCAGCTGGAAGAGAAGTTTGGGATTAGTACAAAGAAATAAAATGAATTTGGGTATTGAAAACTTGGAGCCCAGTTCAGTATGGCTGAAAAGGATTAAAGACAAAATGACATATTACCATAACCACTTTTCGATGCCACTTTGTTACCAAGACCTGCCTCTGCAACTAAAGGTATGTGAATAAATTGTTTTGTATTTTTTGTGAAGAGCCCCTCTGGCTCTCTGGAGCTATACTGGGCTGATATTTATGTATTAGACCCTGGCATCAGTCAATTCGATTTGAGTTCTAGCCTACCGGGGACCACGAGTCAGAACCTGGCCCCCTCAGAGAGGCATGGGGAGCAATGGCCTATAGAAACCCCTGTGTGGTTGGGAGCATTCTATGTCTGCCATCAACCGGGTCAGGCACCCAGAAAGGTAGGTGCCCCAAAACAAACCCCTATTCTGGTGAAAATATTGCTACCGAAAGCCGAAAGAGTGGACAGAACTCCCCAAATAAAATTAGCTGACTAGCATGACGTCATCACGTCACCGTGCCGCCGTCTGCAACCCCCCCCCCATCCCTGGGAGGGGGAAGGGGGCGCCCCAGACCCTCCACGCCGGCGATCCAACTGGCAGTTCTTGGCTGATGTGTGTGTAGTGTAGTCACGTGCCTCTGCAACCCGTTCTCGCAAATTCGTAAAGTCAATATTGACTTATTAAATAAGTGCATAGGTGACATACTAAACATAATAGATACCCTTAAAAAGCTTCATAGAAAACACCGACCTTACCTAACCTTGTTAGTATCTTAAGATAAGCATCTTATAGCTTCGTAATTACAATTGTTACTTAACCTATTATAGGTATAGGTTAAGTAATAATTGTAATTACGAAGCAATAAGATGCTTATCTTAACATACTAACAAGGTTAGGTAAGGTCGGTGTTTTCTATGAAGCATTTTAAGGGTATCTGTTATGTTTAGTATATCACCTATGCACGTAGTTAATAAGTCAATATTGACTATACGAATTTGCTGCCTCTGGCTCCAGACTTCTTTGTTTCAGTCCTGTGTCTGGTGATGTGGGCTGTCTCTCCAGGGGGGGGGTGTGAGCCAGGAGTAATATTCTGAGGTACTTGGGCTGCATGCACCTAGGGCTACCTTCCCTAGGTGCCCAGTAAGTATTGCCCTTGGGGCTTGGGGCCACCTTCCACAAGTCACCTTGGGGTCTGCCTCCATGGTGCCTTTTACTGCTTGGTACTTGGACGCCCTTTGGGTCTGCTGTGGTTTTCTTGCCCTGGTGTGTCCCTGGGTAGGGGGTAGTTGTTGTCACTGGTAGGGGCGCAGGTCCACAGCTAGTCTTCTAACATTACAGTATAGCGACCGGCTCTGTTCTGCCCGGGTATGTTGTCCTCTTGCGGGGTTTCTCTTTTGTTTTTCTGCATGGTGGGAGGGGTCTCCCTTTCTTCCCTTCGGTGGTCGGGTTCTGTGTGTTCTTTTGTTTTGGTGGCATCTCCCACCAGGTGCCCCCCCACCCCCTGAGTGAATACATCCCGGAGGTTCAGCTTTTAGAGGTTTGTTTGGTAGACTTGGACACCCTACCTGGGCTTCCCTTAGCGTGACACCGAGCCTAAGGGTCATGGGAAACCCTGCGGGGGCTACATGGTCCGATGGATGTGACCCCTGAGTTCCCCTTCGCGTCTTGCGGGGTTGAAGGTTGCTCTGTCCCCTTGTCTCAGGGTGACACTCACCAGTTCTGCCTCCACCATGCTGCCTGTTGGGTCGGGGGATTCCTTGACCCGGAATCGTGCGACGTTTGTTGTCTGTTCGTACTCCAGTTTACCCAGGCCTCTAACTGTTATGTGGGTACCTGCTTGATGGGGTTCTGGGAGTTCTTTCTACTCTCCAAGCTCGGCCCGAGGCCAGGCTCGACTTGTGAGAGTTTGGTCCACCCAGCTGTTGCTTGGAGCAGCCCGCAGGCCCACATACCCACCACAGCCCGGCTGATCCAGAACTTCTCTTAGAAAACAGTCCAGTTTTCTCTTGAAGATGTCCACGGTTGTTCCGGCAATATTTCTTATAGTCGCTGGGAGGACAGGTGCAGGCAGCAGCCGCGTTGCATGCTCAGTTTAGGTTGCTGCTACACGCTTGGTTCATTGCAGCCCCGGATGACACGAGACTGCCCCATTTTGATTGTTGGAGTCCCTTGGGGTGGGAGTCGCTTCGGCTCTGGTTCCATCTACTCCTAGTTCTTTTCCCTCGGTTGTGCATACTTCCCTTCCCTTGCCTCCGCCTCTGAACCGTCGGCCGGTTTCGAAGTTGGGGCAGCATCTAGTTGGGTTGAGACTCGGTTGGCCTTGGGGGTTTTCCTTTTCCGGGATGGTGGCAGAGGCCTTTGAGCCTGTTCCTCTAGCCGTGATGTAGGGGTCCTACGCTCAATTCCTTAGGGAGCGTAGGGTACTTTATGGCTGCCCTGGCTTGTTCTTGTGAGACCGGGGCTTTAGGGGGTCAGCTCAGCCCCGTGTCCTGCCGTGGAGGTTCCTGGGGTTGGAGAGAGGATGCCTAGGGGCCTTAGCCCCATTTGGCCCCCGCTTCAGGCTTTTTGTACACTCGGAGCGGGGCTGGCAGTTCCTCAGAGGGGGAGTTATTACTTCCCCCTCTGCGTTCATGTTGTTTTTGGGTCTCTCTCCCTAGGTTCGGTTCTGTGTCCTTTCGGGTACATCGGTTCCATTGTTCCTGGGGGTGCTTTCACCCTCTTTTCCTCACTTTTTCGCGGTTATGTCACATTACTGTTCCCTTCGTCTCAGGTTCCCTGCTTGTCCCTTGTTCAGGGGTATCTTTAGGCCCGTAGGTGCCTCTGTGCCTTTGTGCTTGCTTCTCAGGTTTCTCGGGGGTTCGCGACACTCTTCGATGCTTCTGATATTATGGGAACATCTGTTAACTTCTGGTGAGGCTTCTCTCTAATACTTTCTCGAACTCGTTGGTCCCTTTCATACTACTTCTTTTCTTTTGATTCTAGTTTCGCCTTTTGTATTCCCTTCATCTCTCCTTCCTGTCTCGACATGCCTCATATTCGTTACATACTCCTTGCTGGTGTGTGTACGATGTGTACATCCGACTGGTGTACAAACCGCTCCGCCCGGAGGGCGGGTGGTGCAGTTAATACCTTGGGCGCAGGGGCCAGCCAGGGTGATTTGTCCCCGTCATTTTGTCCATCGTTTTGTTTTTGGGAGGTGTACACGTGTTGGTGTTTCGCGCCTGGTCTCGGGGGTTTTCTATGCCTTCTCGCTTGTCTTCTCTCTCCAGATGCTGGGGGTGTTCTGGATTTTATGTGGGAAATTCACCTCGATTCTTTTCTCTGCTACGGGTGTGCGGTGTCTTGGTGTGGCGCCACCTCTGCCTCTGTTCTGTATCTCGTCTTCTGCTAGGCTCGCTTCTCTGGACATACTCCGCTAGCGTTGCTCCTGGTATATTGCTCAGCTCCACTGTGTCATGACACAACCTATATATTATGTGAGAAATCTTTAAAGAATTCTGATAAAGAAAGAGATCTAGGGGTGGTTCTAGATAGAAAACTATCACCTGAGGACCACATAAAGAATATTGTGCGAGGAGCCTATGCCACGCTTTCTAACTTCAGAATTGCTTTTAAATACATGGATGGCGATATACTAAAGAAATTGTTCATGACTTTTGTTAGGCCAAAGCTAGAATATGCAGTGGTTGTGTGGTGCCCATATCTTAAGAAGCACATCAACAAACTGGAAAAGGTGCAAAGACATGCTACTAAATGGCTCCCAGAACTGAAGGGCAAGAGCTACGAGGAGAGGTTAGAGGCATTAAATATGCCAAAACTAGAAGACAGAAGAAAAAGAGGTGATATGATCACTACATACAAAATAGTAACAGGAATTGATAAAATTGATAGGGAAGATTTCCTGAGACCTGGAACTTCAAGAACAAGAGGTCATAGATTTAAACTAGCTAAACACAGATGCCGAAGAAATATAAGAAAATTCACTTTCGCAAACAGAGTGGTAGACGGTTGGAACAAGTTAGGTGAGAAGGTGGTGGAGGCCAAGACCGTCAGTAGTTTCAAAGCGTTATATGACAAAGAGTGCTGGGAAGACGGGACACCACGAGCGTAGCTCTCATCCTGTAACTACACTTAGGTAATTACACGGTTGTGTTTCCGCTCTGCATGTGAGATTGTGCAGTCTGGCGACACTGTCAGCAGGGCGCTGGTTCTCAATTTTGGTGGGGTGTGAGTGTTGTGTGTTTTGCTTGGCCACCTTGTGTAGTATTGCTGTGGTTTACTTCAGGTTCAGCAGGGATTAGAGTTTGGCTCAGTAGTGGTGCCAACAGAGTTATTCTGAAAATGGCTATGAATCCATATATCACTTAATATTACAGCAATAGAATTGGGTTCCCACAAAATTTGATTAAAAATCTTTTCACCTAAAACTTTTTTCTGCTAAAGTTGATGGATCAACTTTTAAAAAGATTTTATAGTGTTATAGTATTCATCACATTAAGAGTGATGTGTTTGGCTGTCAATCAGAATTGACCCAAAGAAGCAGTTTGGGTCCATGAGTCTATGGGCCTGTTTTGGACAAAAAAATTCTGTGGTTAGTTTTAAATTTGAGTGATATGGATTTTGTTGACAGAATTAGGAGAGTAATGGCACCACTTTTGGAAAAATAACGTTAATAGGGTATAGTAAACTTTTCTAATATTGTTTGGAATGTATTTTTAAAGATGTTGCAGATTGTTGCATCATCATCAGGAGTTGGGAATGTGGGAAGCTATTAAGCATAGTTGAAATCAAGTACAACCATACAAAATAGCTTTGAAGTTTTTATGCAGATTTTGGATACAATACTTTGTTACAGAGGTCATGCCTGTTCTGTGCAAGACTCAGTTCTGTACTGTAAAGTCACAACAGTTAAAGTTTGCTTTTGTTAGAAGGCTCCACACACTGTAACAAAATTTATAGGGCACTGCTTTTTCACTTTGATGGGGAGGGGAAAATATGTATATATAAATATTTACCATTTTCGATTGTACTTCACTTGTAGGAAGCTATATTAGATAATGCGGTATATGCTACACTGATACGATCTATACTAGATCATATATGATATTATGTATTCTTATACAAGATGATTAAAAAAAAAAGTTATAGTAAAATACTTTAATAATACTCTTGGTATAGAAACCTTACATATGAACAGTAAATTAGTGATAAAGATGTGTTAATAAACATGGGTACTTTATGATATGAGTGGTACTGTAAGTAATGACTGCACATAAGTCAAATCGGCATCTCTCTTTAAAGGTTATGTACTTAGGTTCACTCCCTGTATTTATAAACATACTAAGTAGGTCAGCGTACTATCCAGCCCATCCTCCTGTTTTGGTAGTATGTACTTATAGTAACGATGAGGACCATGATGCATATACTGACGTACAACGTAATTGGAAAGTAGAAATTGGTACTATTGAATTTGGATAAATCGGAAAAGACTTTAGTTTGTCTTTGCAACATCACTATAAACTAGCCTAACCTTCCTAGGCCTAATACGTGCTATCTGAGACCTAGTAAATGTGTGTGCTATACTAGGAATATTTACGTTTGTTATTTAGCTTCATTTTTTTGGACTCGTATAAAGTGAATACAGTAGTACAAAATTCTACTACAATTGTATCTAATTACTTAGTACCTCAATGTCTGTACTATGCTACACAAGGTTACTAAAAGTACTATCTAAACAGGAGGATGGGATATATATTACCACACACACAGGTTACTGCTCACATACCACTAATATAGTCCCTGAAGAGCAGTCAACATGTGTTAAGTGCCAGACTAATGATGCAACTGGCCCACCATCTTTATTTACCTCAACTCGCTCTAACACTCCCCCGCACACAAAAATGTACACACGTCTTCTCATTCCAGCACTGAGAAAATCATCAATACACACTAAGTGGCATGAGAAGCACTTCATTCCTGCAAGTTACTTAACATGCTGTCTTTACATACCTTGCTGCACATGATCTTTACATGTACTTTTACAAACCAAAGATATTTATGTACAGTACTTATTTAATAATGTATATAAAATTATATGCCAGTGTTTGCTTTGACTGAAAGCAATTAATATATTTTTCTTTATCAATATAAGTTTCACCAAACATAAATTTCAATATAAGAAACTTGTGAACAAATCCACAAGGGCCGTGATGAGGATTCAAACTTACATCCGGGATGATCCCAGACGCTGCCTCAGTCAATTGCGCCACGACATGGTAAAAGAATTGCAACCGGAAGTTCTACTGACTTTACTCAGATCCTGCAGCCTCCCAGAGACACAAACCAGGATTTTATATTATATTAAGGGCAAAGAGGTAGAACTGTGTTGATAGAGCCCGAGTGCATGGGGGGAATTGTGTAAAAACCCTGGTTTATGCCTCGGAGAGGCTGCAGGATCCGAGTAAGGTCAGTAGAACTTCCAGTTGCAATTCTTTTACCATGTCGTGGCGCAATCGACTAAGCAGCGTCTGGGATCATCCCGGGCGTAAGTTCAAATCCTTATCACGGCCCTTGTGGTTTCGTTCATTTAATATATCATGCTATTGTGATTTCGGTATGTATAAGAAACTTATGTTCCAGATTATAGACAAAAGAACTTTTATTTTATATTCAATTAATGAAAAAAAGGCATATTTGACATGTGCAATTCTTCAGATAACATCATTATACAGGCTCAGTGATGTTTGGGAATACATACAGTATATCTATCTCTTGAAATCATATATAATACCATTCACTATGGTGCTTTCAAGGAAGCCAAAGGATTATTAGCTAGTTCCCCAAGAAGGAAGATTGTGTGCGAGAGGTTGCGAGAAGCCTGAGAGAGTGAAGAATGTGCAGACAGAGTGGCAGTCTGGGCGGCTGGGATGGTTGCTATGAGCCGAGAGATGAGATTACTTTGTTCTGCCAACGGGCCGCAGATGCACTGTGACAGATTCTTCTCCAGTGATGCATTAGCTTCCCCTGTGAAGAAAAATTTGTTACTTTAGTACAATTATATTTAATCATTTGTTTAAATATAATCTGTGTGCATTAATATTTTTAATATTCAAGATAACTTCAAGATTTAAAACATTATAAAAAGTTTTCAATATTGTTCTATAATAAAATGTAGCACGTGAAAATTAAACTTTTTACTAGGAGAGTAATAATTTATATTACCAAATATAATAGAGTTCAGTAGCAAATGGCAGGATGTTTTATACTGAAAGGACAAAGTGTCTCATGATGCAGAATTGAGAGACTAGGTTTTCTTCTGATAATACAGTATTGTGCCCTAAATATAATTATAAATGAAGGTGGTACGTTTTTTTTCCCCCATTCATATATCCAAGACAAACCACTCCATTGCTCCCTAAGGCAATGTCATGCTCTCATTCGGACATGACTAGACAAGGACGACCTTTACTCCCCATTTCAATGAAGACCTATGCAAATGCTTCTACTGGAACACAAGTTATGAAAGGGAGACAATAGGTTCTTTAACCCATATCCAGAATGGCGTACCGTAAGCTAATGCCTTTACATGAAAATAAAACTTCCAAATGAGTCAGTCTTAAAGAAACTGCCAACTGTTCTGCTAGTTGGTTGCGCAGACACTACTCTATACCATCACCATGTGTCAGCCTCTATACTGTTAACAAAATAAGTGAAGAACCCACCTCACTTTCATCCTGGCTCTTTCTGGTTGAATACCCTGGATGAGCAAGAAACCACATACAGAATTCAATTAAATTATTTGGGTTTATCCTGGAAAAAATTGTTTTATTTCTGGCAGGCCTAAGCTATTAAGCAGATGCCTACTTGCATATTTAGTCTCTTGATCATTATCTTTACTTTTTGTCACTCAGCCATTCAGGAGTTTTCTTCTCTGTGCTGGTATTGTTTGTGCCTCAGCAATCGATCTCAGTTTGACCTTGCTTTCATAGTTTCTTGGGCTCTGCTCCCAGGCCAAAGCATTAGTACTATGGACACAACTTTAGGTACAGTTTGTTGCCACATCACTCTTGCATGCATGTCATTCATTCATTTCCTATTGGACATAGCTTAATGGTGCTGCAACTTTCCAGTCAAAAGCATGTTCTTGCCTATTCTTGTCTGTGGTTAATAGCGTTAAGTTTGGGCATAGAGAAAATGCCTTATGAAGTGCTTCAAGCTGTGTTTTGGTGGAGAGGTCCTTGGATCTGTTCTAGGGGTTTCAGCCAGTGTTTCATGTTACTTTTGAACCTTGGGGTGTAAGCCCCAAGGTTTCTTACACTTGGGGTGTAACCCTCAGTGACTCACCCCGGGATTTTGATTGGCTGGTGTTTCTTCCAAAGTTATTCAGCTGTGGTTGGGGGGGAGGGGGGGGTTGTAAATTTTGAGAGATCAAGTGCATAGAGAAGACAAAGGGTTCATTAATTCTGGCCATGTATTGTAGCAGCTGCAAGAAACAAGCTATAATAATTGGGTTATAATGCGAGGAGTCAGGAAGATGAGGGTTCATAGTGTAAGCACGAGAGATCCACAGATAACGACATAATACTGTCTCGGGGCCATAAAGTATGGTGGACAAGTGGACAGAAAAACCAGGTCTGAACTACATCAGGACCAAAATCCAAGGAACCAGAATGCAACTGCTAGGCATGTAGCTCCCCAACTCTATGATCCTTGGCCACAGCCATCAAAAAGAGCCTTAAAGTAAACATCCTCAAAGAATTTGACTGGAACTGAGGGAAGGACAAATTCCAGCACCAAATAATGTAACCAAGTAGGCTCCAATTGCACATGAGTAGAATAAAAGTGGATGAACACCAACTTCAGGGAGGAAGGAGTCAAGTTCAACATCAAAATTCAACAGTAGTTCTGATAATACCAATCTATAAGAAGAAACTGTGTTAGGCATTTTAAACATTATAGCAACTGTGTCAGTGTTATGATAAAAAATCACTTACTACATGGTATGGTTATAAGATACTGGTTAGTGCTGTATAATTCAGCTTGAAATTGATATCTAACTGTTCTTGTGATGTATGCAGCATAATACAGGGCTTGTGTATAAAATGTTTTTGATACTGTACTTATAAATAAATTAAAATGGTTTTAAATGTAACATGATCTAATAACAAGAGGGATCTTACTTGCACCACCATTCAGTGTTAAAAAGCTTTAAATTGATGCACAAAGGTGTTCTCCAAACATTTCACAAGCAACTCCCATAAAATTAATAATCCTGTGAAAACCATAACATATTCCTACCTGGGATATATGGTCAAGTAGTTTACAAGTGCACAAAATATAGTTAAGGGGAAGTACATTGTGGTGTTTATTTGAAAACAATAAACAGAAAATTAAATGAAAGAATAATGACCGATGTTTATGGGGCATAAAGTATGTGGTTTTGTTTAGGAATTATTCCATGGAAACCTTGCTAGAGAAATTAAAAGAGGTATATAGGGGTACCTCAGCTTATGAATTTAATCCGTTCCCAGAGACAGCTCATAACCCAAAATTTCATAAACCGAAGCGAATTTCCCCATAAGAAATAATGGAAAATGAATTAATCCATTCCATGCTCCCAAAAAAATTAACTTAAAAGTAAATTTTATACCTAATTCACCCAAATCTTCAGAACAAAAGTATGTACAAGTTATTACTTACCTTTACTGATGACTCCTGTTGGCATATGGAAGACAGTGAGGAGGAGGAGAGGTGTTACTCTTTGGAAGCGGAGTCCCCTTCCATTATAATATCAGGCAGTGATGACTTCTCTAGGGTACACACACACACACACACTGGCACATTTTGCCTGCATACCACTAGGACCTGCTTCTGGCTCACTGCTTGATTTTCTCACTAGAAATCATTCCATTGAAGATTGTTTTTCCCTTCTTTGTAACACTTGTCTGTAGTGAGACATCACATTGTCATTAATAAGATCAATGCAACGGCCTGCTACAGCTTTATCTGGGTGATTCTTTTCAGCAAAACTTTGCAGTTTTTCCCATACTGCACACATTTTCTTAATTAATGAGGAAGGGATATCCTCTACTTCCTCCTCCTCCTTCCCTGAAGATTTGTTGTACTGCCTAGCTAGTTCAACAACCCCTGTACCATTTTCATGTTCACGAATGATCTCTTTTTTTTTTTTTTTCTTCTGTGGTCATTCTCACATGTGTTTTCTTGGCTTGAACCTTACCACTGGCTTTCTTGGGACCCATGGCAAGTTATATAATAACAAATTTTATGTTCAAATAGCCAAAAAAAAACAAAAAAAAAAAAAACGTAAATCTTTGCAAAGAACTCAGGCGCGATAGTCGCTACACAGGGGGCACTGATAAACTGAGGCATAATCGCTGTGCCACCACGTGCTAGGTCGGCCCATACGCGTATCAACAAACTCGTTTCCCGAGGCAAAGTTCGTAACTCAATTTGAATTTTCCAAAGAAATTGGGCTCGTAACCAGAAAAGTTCGTAAAGAGGAGCATTCGTAAGGCAAGGTGTCACTGTACTGGCTTAAGAAATATATTATGAAGGAAAAGATTTACAGTAGTAAAATGGCACAGGCATCGTAAGAATAAATGTAAACTCAAAATAATTAACCAAATAAAGTAATAGAAGTGCAGTAAAACATACCAACTCCGTCTCCAGAAATTATTGTACCTATAGGTACTATGGATGCAATGTACAAAATATGGAGCATTGTATAAAAAGGTTCAAGTTTTGTATTATTTGAATACTGACCTGTAACAGGCATATAAAAGAGTGGAACAATAACTATAAACCTACTCTATACTAGGGCATAAATAAGCAATTCCAGGCATAATGTATGCAATCTTTGGTCTAATTTAGTATATATATGCTATATTAGGCCTAGTATAGGTTTGCTTGTTATGTTCTTTCTTAAGCCCTTTTCAAAACTAATGGTAATTTTTTTTAGGGGGGGGGGGCAAACCAGTCCATATTTGTACAGTACTTTCATCCATAGTAATAATAGGCACTATCATATTTTCTATGAGAGGTTGAGATATACTGAATATGATGAGCTAAATACCCCATCATGCTTAATTACAGCATGCAGTCAGTTAAGAATTATTAATAGAGTAGAGATTATTATTTTCTTTAAAATGCTCGGAACAACACTGATGATAATTTTAATAACTTAAAAAATGTCTTACATAATTTCTGATGGAGTAATGAATGATGAGTTCTTCTTAACTGTTGCTGATAATGCTGCTGCCGCTGCTGTTTCTTCTCAAGGTATTGCCTCACCGTGATGCCTTCTTCTGTGGCGCCTCCAACTTTTGGATTAACTGGAAAATGTAATATTACTTAATTACATTTAACATCTTTTCTGTCATTTTCTACAGTTTTCTTGATACCAATTTGATGGTGAGAAAGTGTAGTAGTACTGTCTGCATCATGAGATATTCAAAAGATGCTAAATCTCATTCAGGATGCCAATACAAGAGTAAAAGGATACAAGACAAGCAACATCAAAGGTATCAGATTTACATAAGAGCCTATCAAGGGCCAAGTGACCTGGAGGGACATAGGAAAGTAAAGTGAGCAATCATCCTGAAAATTGGGACATTCTATACAAAGAATTCATTTTTTCATTGTCCAAACAATGCAGTTTGGACAAAAAAAAAGGGCAGGACATGGTTCCATTAAATGCCCACGAGATAAGCAAGTGCGAGTGATAAGCAACCTAGCCAGAGTCGTTTCCCATCATCCATTAGTGGTAAAGGGAAGGTCATTCTTAAGAGCACACAATTTTTTGCCTGTAATGCCAGTCCAATGATGGTCATGGATTGCAGAATGAATAACTGGGTAGAAATCTGAACAAGGAATCCCTTTCCAGGAAATGTTGTAAGAATGGCATCCTTAGTGGTGATGTCTTCAAGTTCATTTACCTTGTTACCTTGTCTGCAAGATAACTCCAGTATGACTGAGAACCTAGCAACATTTAACTCATATCTGTTACAGAGAAGAAATAGCCAGTGTTGGATTTTGACCAGTGATGCAGTGTCAAAAGAATGCAAAGCCATAAGAGCACAGAGTCAACGACAGTAACAAAGGAACATTGAATCTCCTTGTCTAAACTTGTGGAAAAAACAGTGTAGCTGAGAATGGTGTACATGTGTGGTAGCATTCCAGTTACAGTATACAGTAATGTAAACACAGTGACAAAAACATGTATTTTACTGAGCAGAAACAACTGTTTGGCACATCTCTCTACATCTCATTTCAATATCAACTTCACAAAAATTTGACAAGACAGAATGAACAAATAATAAATTTTGAGTCATAAGTACTGTATATTGATAATGATTTCTGAAAACAAAATACATACTGCACAAGAGGATGCAAGATACACATGAAAGTGCAGCTTTTAAGTCTTACATTACTGTATTCGGTTAGCAACTTAAACATCCACATAGTTTATAGTGCACAACTCTCAGTATAATGTATGATGAGAAGCACTGTCACATCACAAGTTGGTTGCGCTCCCTAACCAGTTCTATGTTAACTCACCAATCTGACCTCTGGCTGTAGCTGCACAAAACTCCTCTTCTTCATCCGACTCGGATGCTTCCCCACACACAATGATCCCTTGCATTCCACTCATCTGTAGGCAAGATTAAGACTGCTTTGAAAAGATAAATACAATACTGTACAGTATTGTAATTCTTCAAATAACCAATTAGATTAAATTAATGTGCCGAGTTATTTCAAGAAGAATTTAAACTATCTTAAGCATAGTGTATAACCAATTAGATTAAATTAATGTGCCAAGTTATTTCAAGATAGAATTTAAACTATCTCAAGCATAGTGTAAATGTTCAATAACTGGGCGCATTTAGAAACTGGAAAAAAACTATTTTGCTGGCAAGCAGTAATTGGGAATGGTCTCGTTTACAACCTTTCCTCAAAACAAAGGACCAAAATAATATTTGTGTGGGCAGTTGTTTGATTATTAATGAAATTGACATTACATGTATCATAGCTGATGTCATTCAAACTTCTCAAATAGACATGCCATCTTCTCCACTACCCAAAGCTCCCTTGCTAAATTATTTGCCCTTCTGGAATTTGTTTACACAATGGTTAGGATCATTCAAGTTATGTCCTCTTGTAATACATACAATGTGGGCAGAAAACACTTGAATTATACGAATGAATATAAAGTATAAAAAATGTGTTTTACCTATCACGATAGAACTTATAACAAATTCAAGATAGAATAATATTTAATTTAAAAGGATATACACAAACATACAAAACAATAAGCTATGACCTGTGGCAAATTATTTGTACCTGGAGCCAATAACCCTGTGACTAAATATACATAATCTGTAACCAATTATGTGCCAAATACTGCAATGTGCCTTGCAGCCAATAATCTGTACCCTGAAGCCGATAATCTGTAACCTGCATAGTACACCTGCTGACATCTGTCCACCTTCAGCTGGACAGGCAGTGGCCACTTATATCACACATACACAGGGTAGGCCAAGTCTGGATGTGTTCCCAGCTACCTTGTCACAGTAAGAGCTAAATTCCAACCATGCTCCTCAGGAGCCTTCAGGAGCCACCTACCCTTACACCTCTCAGACAAGTCACTGCATGCTTGATGATGCCCTATGATCTTTTCAGAATGTGCCAAAAAATATATCAAATGTTATGTGACCATTGGCAATAAGTGTGCCTGGTGTTTTATCAATCTGGGTTACTGAATAAAGATGCCTAACAGCAAAGTCATAACCCTAATAGCAGAAATCCTGACATATTTCTCAGCTACCCTCAGGCAGTGCAAGGGCCAGGCATTCACTCAGCATCAAGGTTGAACCAGGAATTGGTGCTCAACTGAACGCCTTGTTATATGCAATTAATATTGTTGTTGATTGAGGGGAACAATGGCACAGGGGCCCTGTCAATTCCTTGTTGTAAAAAACTAGAGTTTAGTGGAAAAAATCATAACAATAATAATTAATTTTGTTTGGGGACAGGCAACCAGTGTAGTACATGTTAGGTCTATATCAAGGTCCTCGCAAGTTGAACTACTGACCTTCCTCAGGTGGTAACCCCACAACAAGCTGACTAACTCCTGGGTACCTATTTACTTTTAGGTGAACAGAAGCAGTGGGTGATAGGAAATGTGCCCAAACATTTCTGTCCCACCCCAAGATTCGAACTTAGAATCTCCAACTGAGAATTGAGATCGAACCCGAATACTGCTGGGCCCCCCTGCCAACAGAAAATCTTTCTTTATAGTACGTGCAGGTTGCGTGAAGGTTTCCTCCTCTCAATGACTGCACAGCGGAAAATAACAACCATGCAACATGTAAGCACACTGTGTGGCAGACACTTGCATGCTCTTGACACATTTATTTGTTTATTTATTTATATGCAAGAAAGTACATTGGGTTTATGAGAGTACATAGCATTAAATGTTCTTGTAAAGTTACTGGCACGCACAGCATTTCAGGCAGGTCCTTAATCTAACAGATAATCTAACAATCCCTCTACATCTGGGGAAAGCAAGTGCCAGACCCCATTAAGAGTAGAGAATCTGCCAGAAGACTATCTATCGATACCCAGTGATCCCAGGTGATATGTCAGGCATCCTTTGAACTCTGGATAGCTGAACAAAAGTTGGAGCCCAATGGCAGAATTGCAGACCCTCTATAACTCATGGAAAGTCGTTAGGCCAAAGTATCTTATTTATTAATGGACAATGATCACTCCAAAAATTAAGGAATAAACATGTACTTATCTAGCTGCAACAGAACAAATGGGGTTTAAGTGCAAGTGTAACAATTGCATCAATTGGAATAGTCAGATTAATGTGGACTAGTAATGTAGCGATGCCAGTGTAGAAACTAATATTCAGGTTTTTCTCCACTAGTCACTCTACTGTGAGCTAGGCAAGTTGCATTATAGATGACAAAGATGAAGTGCCATGTATGTTAGGGTAGACAGAAGATATACAGTGAATATCAGAAATAATTTTTGTCCCAGGCAGGACAAATATTTAGCCATGTTTCTTTTAACCTAATGCTTCTGTTCACCTAGCAGTAAATAAGTACTTGGGTACTTGGGAGTTAAGCAACTGTTGTGGGGTTGCATCCTGGGAAAGATCAGTAGTTCAACCTTGGGGGGGTAGGTGGGGGGCCTCGATACAAGATTAAATTATAATTAATTACATATACAGGCTTCTTAAATTTAAATTTTGCCCCCGAGGGGCGAGTTTATTGGGCAGCACTACTCATCTTGTGAGTGGACACACCGCCATAGCACCATGTACAACACTCCCCAAAAGGAAGAAAACCCACTGGGTTGTTCATCCTGTCACTTGTACCCAGACAAAGTTGGGACTTGCTTAACTGTCTCAAGTGAACAGCTCCTCAAACAAGATTAACATTTGTCAACCCGATTTTTACTTAGGCTTTCAGTGCTGCTTTTGAATCAGTGCAAATCACTGCACCATTAGTGTTCCGTTCAAGAAACCTTAATGCCATAACAATGGCAGTTAGCCCTGCTTGTGTTGTAGAGGCATAGTTCTCAAAACACGCTTTTTCTTCATTTCTGCGTTGGAAAATATTATTCTTGATTACCGTGTATGCTGCACCAGCCCTGCCATTGACAGGATTAGATGACCCGTCAGTTTAGATTTGATCTAGTTCAAATTGGACAGGCTTCTTGTCCCTGATAAGAATTATATATCAACGAGAGGAAGGACGACAAAACGAGATAATGGTGTGGACGACAAAGGGTCTACCAGGATTAAGACTGAGTACCAGGTGGGGTCTGTTTCTTTATGATATACGTGCCACACAATACACGTGATCTTTATGATACACGTGATCTCTTATTTATGGTGATGTAGTTTGCGCGAAAGTTTTCTCCTTATCACTGCACGAGTGGTATGGGAGACGCGGCACTACTACTCCTTGATAATATAGTATTTACATTTTGCTGGTCCGATACTTCTTCTTTTTGATGGTACGTGCATGAAAGGTTTAGCCTGTCGATAACAGCAATGATCCACTACTCCCGAGGACTGTAGCCACTCTCGTTCCTTGTTGGTAAATACTGAACGTTCGTCAGCTGGTCGTCAATCCGGATTATTCTCAAAGTTTCTGTAGCGGCGCATCCGATCCCTTGATGGTCGTCGCCCTTCAGCCAACAATAACTCTTTCTTGATTGTAATTTTGAATAAGAATACATTTCCCCATGTGGGAAAATTCTTTTGTTCATAAAAATTATTGTTTGTCTGTAAGACGTTGGAGGTCATATGCTTCACCCAACTTTGCAGGGTGAATGATAAGGGTGTATATAGTCCACTCAGCCGCCCCCCCCCCCCATTCATGTTGGCTCAGGGCGCTGGCAGCTCCCTGGGTGGTGTCACCTAGTAAAGTAAAGTAAAGTAACTTGGTGTCCTCATCGATAACAAGATGAATTTCCAGGGACACATTCTAAATATAGCAAAAAAAAGTTTCTAAACTATTGGCATTTTTTCTAGGATCAGATATTATGTTCCTCGCCCTGCCCTGGTGACGCTCTATTACTCTCTCATCTATCCTTACCTCAACTATGGTATTTGTGCTTGGGGTTCTAATACACAAAATCGTTTACGTCCTCTAATTACTCAACACAAAGCTGCTATTAGGATAATATCCAACTCTGGCCCCAAACAGCACTCGGTACCCTTACTCAAATCTCTGAATATGTTAGATATTTGTCCCTGTACATCCTCTCATGTGTATTCTATACTGTATATTTAAAACTGAACTGTAATGTCCATCCTGACCTTAAAAGCGTCTTAGAAGGTTGTAACATGACCCATGGGCACCACACCAGAAACAAATACCTATTTGATATTCCAAGAGTGCGACTTAACCAAACTAGAAATGCTCTACAAATCAAGGGACCCAGAATGTGGAATGACCTTCCCAATCATGTCAAAGGCTCTATCTCTCTCAACCAGTTTAAGATGAAAACTAAGTACTACCTAATTAACTCCATGTAACCTACCTTACCCCTAAATGTCAACCCATGTTTTACTATTTTTAAACAATGCTGTTTGTTGACCAACTTATATATTGGCTATTTTCTACCATGTCCCCCCCCCCTTTTTTATCTTTTATTTTTTTTTTCAACGTAATTTATACTTTAAACTCAATTACTATTAAGTTTTAGTCTAAATGTCCCCCTCCCCTCACCTTGCCCGAAACTATATGCATACTAGTGGTTTTAGGTATTGTATGTACTAGCTATATCTAAAAATCCAACATTATGTTTGTAAATCAACTATGTATGTACTTTCCTGAATAAAATTAACTTTACTTACAGTGGAGGAATAATTTTCTGTGATTCAGAAAGTCAGCTCTTCAGGCCCTTAAAATTCCAACATGCAAAATAGATACTATGAATGTTGTAACATCCATTACAAACAACATTATTAATGCAAAGAGCAAGAGTTTCAGTCTTATTTGTATGGATACCATCTCACATGTGTTGTCCAGCATGACGACACAGACAAGGCAGCTAAAACTGCATGTGATAAGCCTGAAATTAAGTTGGATATGGGCATTCCAATTTTTGCTGTAAAAGCCCCAATATTTCAGGAAATTAGGAATAGACAGAAGAGCAGTTACTGACACTCAAAGACCAGAAAACACGAGTATAAAGATCTATGACATGATTAGAACCGAGAATTATATGTACGGACAGCATAAAACATCCACAGACAGTGTGACATTGTAATTGCCAGAATTAGGTTGGGATATTGATATCTATGGCAGGTGGCTGCAGGTAATGAATCGTCCCCATTGGTGGACATTCCAATTGTAAACTATGTGAACAAGAGCTGGGCCATACTCACCAACACTATATCTGTGATTGCCCTGTTATAAGTGACTTCAGACCTAATGGTATGAGGTACTTTGAGCTCTGTAATTACTTCATACACTCAGGAATATTGGAATATATTCTTGTACTGTACCCAGATTATGCTAGTAGAGGCTAATAGATCAGCCCAAAACGCTATGCGTGTTAGTGGCTTTACAAGAATGTAAAAACATCAATGCTATGTACTCTCATAAACCCAATGTACCTTCTATATCTATAAATAAACCAATAAAAGCCTTACATTCCATGTATGACTGGCAGTCACGTGAGGTGGGAATATTGGATGAGCTTGTAGCTGGTTTTTTATCTACACTGTGTGGTCCTTCATACAGAATAGGGTAGCAGCACATTGCTGTGTATACCTAAGCTTGTTAAAACAAAAATTATTAGAAGGAATCTTATAGAAACTAGTAAAAAATAATTATAATATAACATTTCCATGATTCAGTGCTTAGCTTTTATGAAAATCATAAAGTTATTATTTAGTCAAATTAATTTTTTGTACTGAGGCTGGTATTTTTTCCCAGATTCCATGTATTACTAACCATCCTGTGAGATGGGAATATTAGATGAAGTTATTGCTAGTTTTTGATCTACAGCGGCACATTTGTGTGTATACCTAAAGTTTGTTAATAATAAAATAAATAAATGTGCTACAGTATATACATATGGAGCTATTGTAGTGTGGCTAGCTACTGGGAGCCACTATTCAGCCACTCAACAAAAGCCCCTTCAGTGGGAAAATAGACTTTTCTCTCTAGTTTGCATATTGTATGTTATTTACCATATAGTAAAATATATTTTAAATAAAGCTCAGTTAAATGATTATGTCTACGAGTTGAGGCTCTGAACTTCTCACTTAATTTATATCAAAGGCAACAGTAATTCAAATTAAGGTAAATGAAATACACAGTAAGTATATATGATTTAATTAAAGGATTATAAATTTACATAAGTTTTGAGTAGGAGTAGAAAAATAACATCCATCAGAGGCAGTTATTGGACGGTTCAGAAAACTAGTCAAAGGCGAGTTCTGAGCGCTGAGATTTTGAGCTAGGGTGTAGGGAAAGCCAAAGGTACGTAGTGAGCATTGAAACACAGGACTAGGGTAATAGGTCAGCCAGAGTTACTATCAGTTACAGAGTTAACCGATTACAATTAACCAGAGTTACAGGGTTACTAAAAAAAAATTGTATTCATGGTACAGTAGCTGCAGTTTACACAGCTGTGAAACGTTGTTATTAGGATATAAATGTGCTGGTGCTCTGGTTCTCAGCACATTATATGTCCAGTGTATGAGAAAAATAAAATACAAAACATTCTCTCTTAAAATTGAAATACTTAAACTATTTGGGTCAAAATGACACAAGCACATCAATAAATATTTGGTCAAATATTTTGTTAAACAAAAGTTTATTTTATTATGGCAAGACAATATTTAGTTAATACTATACTGTATAAATATTTATACATTACAAACCTTAACTATACTGTATATGGTTTTTTACACAAGGGTAACCTTTTATATCTTATGCTGGCTTATCTCTTGATACATACAACACTATTAATACAATACTCCTAACATAAACTAATTTTTTTTTTAAATCTAAAAAAAAAAATGCCATGGATTTCTTCATTTCTTTTATAATTATCAGTTCTCTCTATTATGTATAGATAGTGATTATACATAGATTTATAAGCATAATTAATGATTCTTGATAATACTATGAGTCTCCACCCTTTCCTATGAAACTGCAAAATTGGCTAGTGGGAGAAGCCACCTCCATCCAGGGGTAGCAAAAATTTTTACGTTCACCAACACTAGGCCATAAAAATTATGTAACATAATTAAGTCCTAAGACTACCACAAAACAGGTAAAGGACTGAAAGCACACAAAACTGTACATGATGTTATCCCTTAGGCATATGTACCTGTATTTATAAATTTTTAAGTAATTTTTGTAAAGAGCATTATTGATATATTTACCACAAATACAAATTCAGTATATATTACGTATATTACTCTACATTTATATCAACTTTCACTAACTGGCCCAAAGACTAAAACTATGTGTTAAGCAATTCAACACTTTTTATATTGATTAACTCTTTTTAAGCACTAATGTAAAATGAAATATTTACTGACAGCCAACACCACCCTCCTTTACCCCTGAAATGTTTGTGATGATCTAAACTAATATTATGTAATTTAGTCTAGAAATCCACAGTAACTTAGAAGCATAAATCAACTACTGCATGTGGTTATAGTATGGTACCACATTATTTTCTTCATTCTTTGTCAAAGCTTTCATTGTCAACAAAGATATCTTAATCAAAGAATATTCCATAATTGTATGGATGGTAATGTACATACCTTTCTACATTTCCTACCATGCATTTTAAAGCAAATATATACATCTACTAACAACATGTGCATTATAGTGTCACAGGACAAAAGTAACAGGCATCAGAGAAGTGTGTTTACACAAAGACCTTGAAATGAAGTCAGAGGCACCTGTGATCTTTCCAGTTTGATTATTTTACACTTTACATTACACAAAAATATACAGGAAGTACAGTACTTACTTACTGTCTATACTGCTTGTATATGGGAAGAATTCTGGTTATTATATCTAATAGTTTGAGTGTTACAAATCCTGGAGACAACGCTAACACAATACATCCTTAATTAAATAAGACATTTTGATGACAGTTTCAGGTTAGTATTAACCTCCTTTTCTCGCAATAATTGTGTGTAAATATCTCAGCACAGTCAATATTATTGTATCCGATTCATTGACCTGGGACTGTGGGGGACATTATATAAATATCCCAAGTACAGGTATTTGGTAGGAATAGCATCTATGATATGGCTGGAACTACAGTACACATAACATTGATATTGTAAAATTAAATACACAAACACAGTGTCCATCTACGAGAGATAATGTAATGCATAATTAGATTAAATGAGATGAGAGAAATTTATCATTTAGCTTCGTGTTTCTGGGCTATTTCTTTCTTGCACCATACCAGGCATTACAAGTTATATAATCTTTGCTTATTGTTTCTAAAGCTAAATAAAAACTTACAATATTAAAAAAGAAAAAAGAATATTGAAGTTTTGATATAATACACCAAAGAGGTTTGACTAGATTTTTTAATATTTATTACTTTACACAGTATGTACATTCTCCTTGCTGGTTAAAAAAGAAG